CGCCTGGCCACCTCTCTCATGTGCCGGAGCACTTTAAGTTCAGAGAGAATAGCTAACAGTAGCTTCAGACAGCCTAAGTCCCATCAGAGCCCTGTGGGCTACTGCCCACTCTAAGCACCTTCTGTCGCTCCTCGCCCTCCCCAGCCCAGTTTGACCCCCCTGAGGTGCTGCAAGTGTGGGCGGAGCCTCAGAGGCCGGGCTGCCTGAAGATGCAATGGAAGCTCTCCGATCACCAGGCCTGGGTGGTGAACGTGGCCGTGAATATAAGCCTGAGAGCCACGGACAACCAGCACTGGACCTCGGCAATGGTACGGTCCACAGAGCCGGGTCTGATATATCAAGGTCCTGATCCGAATCAGCACAGAAACAGAAGAAACATCAGCAATAAGTAGGAACCGTTTGATCTGGTTTCCATCAAGCGCATTTCAAGGCTCTTTGTGTTTTAATCATGTTTAGTTTGCAGAACGATTTCTGTCTTTGGGAATCTGAGCCCATCATTACACGCAAGCAGACAGGTTCGGTCGTGCCGCTGAAGACCAAAGGAACTGCAGTGCAGGACTCCAGTCCCGGCACTTCCATTAACTGCCTTTGCGTGGTGTTCCGGCTATTTCTAGAAGCGCATGCAGAACCCGTTCGTCCCAGAGACGGTGGAGCAGTGCGGCCTGCTCCATGGCACGGAGTACCGTGCCCAAGCGAGGGTGAGTTACCCCCCAGGGCCCTGGAGCGCTTGGAGCAAACCGCTGGAAGGCACCACCCCTGATAGAGGTGAGCCCCCCCCCCAGCCACCACAGTCTCGCTTCCCCATCATTCACCGCTTTTCTGAAGGCCGTCTCACCTCCTCCACGCCAGCTCCTACGGGTCGCCTCACCACGTGGCTGAAGGTCCTCGGGGAGCCGTCCGGGATGCGCTCTGCGCTGCTCTTCTGGAAGGTGACTCAAGTCTGAGAGCGCTCGCTGTGATTAAGCGCCACTGCAGTCATTCTACTTTCTGCCCTCTCCAGTTTGTCTGCTTATCTCGTGCTTTTACACAAAGTGGCTCACAGTTTCCACCTGTCTATACAGATGGATACATCACCGTAAACCCTACAGTTACGCCCCTCATTCTCCTTTGGTTAAAGACCCTCAGTGAGACCCCTTAAAATGCAGCACACAGTAAAACTACTAATATAATGCATAAATATCACATGTATCGATGTATCAATAGTGACATTAAATGGCTTTTTTTTTTACAAACCCTGCCGGATTCTGACCCCACCCCTCATCGTGCTTCTGACCAATCACAGCCATCGGACCAGTTCCGAGCCAACGGCAGGAATGTGTCTTACCACGTCTTGCTTAAGTGGCCTCCGGACAGGAGGCATGATGTACTCTGCGACACGGTGCACGGCCACTGTGCTTTCAGCCTGCCCCCGGGGGCAACAAGGGTGTGCATCACAGCCAGCAACTCTGCGGGAGAGTCTGTGCCCATGTGGGTACCGGCATACCGGCACACAGGTACAGACAGGCCCCGTCCGCTCTCTCTGCTGTCACCGGGAGCTCCTGTAATGCAGACACCTAACGTGAGGAACTTGTGTCCTGCTCTCTGTCCAGCCCTGGATCCCGTCTCCGGTCTCAGTATCTCTCCCACTGGGGACAACAGTCTCCTGGTCAGCTGGGTGGCCCCGAACTCTACTGCTCTGGTTGGGTTTACAGTTGAATGGAGCCCACTTTCGGAGTCAGGCCTCATCTCTCTCTCTTTCGGCGTGGCTGCAAAGAGCGAATCCAGTTTCCTCATCACAGGTCTGAGCGCCGCTGGGCCGGCTGCTCCTATTATACTGCACACGGACACCAGAGAATTATCTATGACTTCTGATGGCCTTTACTTTGTTTCTCTATAGATGAAATCGAGCCATACCAGCCCTACAAGATCTCAGTGTATTCCAGGTATGATGAAGGAATAGGTGCCCCGCGCACAGTGGAAGCCTACACCCTAGAGAAAGGTGGGTGTAAGGAACACATGGTCTCCAGAATGCTAAATACTGCAGTGATGAGATGGCTGTCCGTATTAGCCAAAGTCATTTCCATCCAAACACTTCCCGTTGTTTTAACGCATTGCGTGACCGACTTTGGGACAAGCCTCCCCTCTAGTGGCCATCTCTGAGAACTGCAGGCCCATATTTATCTGTCAGCGATCTCATTCTATGCTGCAATTCTGTTTGACTTTTTAAAAAGTCGTTAATTGTAATTTGATAAGGTCAACCATATGTCAGATGTCATATTATAGTTAAATGTGAACTCAGGGTAGACTTTTCGTCTTAAGACAAATCGCTAATTGAGACCCAGTGGGATGTCTGTTGGAAGGGTTCTGTGAGAGGGAACCAGGATATAGTGGGATCTGGGTTTGCATTCTGACTACGGTCGACCCGTATCTCAATAGCGCCTTCCGAGGCGCCTCAGCTGCAGGCCACGGTGATCCGACACACGAGCGTCGAGCTGACCTGGGACGACATCCCACTGGAGCACCGAAACGGGATCGTCAGTTATACCATATACTACTGGAATGAAGAGGACCAAGCAGAAGGTACTTAAAGACATGATCTGTATGTTGGAGGCGTGGTAAAGATGGAATGGCTCCTCCCATTTCAAGGCTCACTTTCTAGTTGCCCACTCCCCGTTTTTCCAGCTGTGAGGATCAAGCCGACCAACAGGAGGCTGATCCTGAAAGACCTCAAGCCGCTGTCCATGTACAAAGTCCTCATCCAGGCCAGCACAGACGGCGGAAGCCGCAACGGAACCGTCCTGACCTTTAAAACCGAAGAAACAGGTTCTGAGTTAATTTTTTAACAAATAACGACACTAAATAAGACCCCAACCTCTATCCAATTGTATCTAGAGATTAAGCTGGCAGAGTGCATTGAATTGCCCTTCCGTGGCTTGCTTGCAGATTTCTGGGACATCATGATGAGCGCCTTTCTCATCGGCATTCTTCTTCTGCTACCTATTTCCGTCGCTTCCGTCGTCTGCTTCAAGAAGCGCAAGAGGTGAGGCTGAGGGCCGCCGTGTCACACGCCCCCAAAGCACATCGCTGTCCACCGAATCTAATGTTTCACACTGTCAAGGAATTACACCATGCTACAGGGGCCCAGCGCTTTGGACCATTCCAAAAACAAATTTTGGAATGTAGTTGGATTGGTCTGGGTTGGGGCAAGACGGCGCAGTGGTTAGCACTGTTGCCTCATGCCTCTGGAATTTGAGGGTTTGAGTCTCTGACCAGGTCAACACGTGTGGAGTTTGTATGGCCAACCCTGTCCTCAGAAACCCACAGACAGTCCTACTGGGAGCTGGGAGAGAACAGAAATGTGGACTGTCTGTGGGTCCCCAGGGACTGGATTGGGGAACAATAGCCATAGATACTCCTGTATGTGTTTCCTGTGCTCCATAGCAGTGTTTCCCAATCTGGTCCTCGGGGCCCACAGCCAGTCCACGTTTTTGCTCCCTCCGAGCTCCCTGCCAGACAGTCCACATTTTTGCAGGAGCTGGGCGGGAGCAAAAACATCTGTCTGTGGGTCTCCGAGGACCAGATTGGAAAACACTGCTCTAGTGTATTATCATAATACCACTGATGACTGGCTTCTCCACTGAAGGCTGAAGATGCGGCTTTGGCCAGTGGTGCCAGATCCAGCCAACAGCAGCATCAGGGACTGGAAGGACACTGGCATGCTTCAGGTTGGTTAAGATAAAGCTGTTGTCTCAGGATCAGCTGGTCCGGTAGAGAAAAATTTACGAATGATTAGAACCCAGGTGATGTAGTTTCTGACAAAGACAGACCTGCAATTTCAGGCACTGAAACAACATTAGAGCCTCTTTTTAATCCTCCATTTTCATTAAACCAGTTATTTTGTATCCCAAAGGAGAGAAATCCTATCCAATAATCCAGAAAGCATAATTTTGGAAACCCTGCAGGTAGGATCATCATGGAATGATGTTTCATATTGCGTGTTAAACTGTAGAAGGACAGTCATCGTAAGCAGGACATCCATGAAGCGTCACCTGTGAACCTTTCGTGGTTCAACCTCATGGATATCCCGGAGAAGGAGGACAGTGAGGCGGAGGAGAGCTGCCAGCCAGGCAGCCAGAAGGGCGGCGACACTGGCCACTGCCCGGAGGTTCACCCCAGCCCGGGTGGGGACCCATCGCCTAGGGACTCGGTCCCTTATGTCACTGTGGTCTTCACCAGCCCATACAGGAGCCAGGCACAGGGCCCACCCCAGGGCTACCTGAGGTCTGAGTCCACACAGCCTCTCCTAGGGGACGAACCATCCAGCCCAACACCATCTCAGGAGGGTGGAGCCGAGTCAGGGTCCTTCCCTGAATGCGGTGGGGAGCTGTGCGCTCACAAGGGAGGCTGTGTGTCATGGGGTGACTTCCCAATGCTGGGGGCCCTAGAGATACACAACGCTGATCCCTTGTACTGAGGGCCCCGCGTCACTGGATTTATAACAGGATTGCAACAGATTAATAACCTCCTGTTTTCATAACCAAGTACATTAAAAGATCATGGAGTGATTCTTTGTCAGGAAAGATAAGACTATGAATGTAATGTATATTTTTGCTACACGTTTTTGATATGTCTATACATAGATTTTTTTTCACAGGGAAAACGCCTCAACCTCATCAACTGAATTTTTATGCGTATTATTTTCAACGGATGGTTTATTCACACTGAATTTCTATATGAATATCTGCATATATACTTACATATAATGTGTTTTCATGTGTTTTCTATTTGTTTGTCTGGTGCATATTTGTGAATACATTTTAAAAATAAAAATGTTTGACGAACGTCTAAAATAAAGATTATAATTTAAATGTTTCGTTGAAATATGTTATTAACTAATTTCCATCATGCTCAGACATCTAAAGAATATTAAAGGAAGTTCTGACAGACACAAGCTACGTCGTAAACCGATTCAAATGCACGATCGACCGACCTGGGATGTATTGCTTCTGTCTAGATCACGACTCGCAAGGTCGGTCCTTCCTCTTGTCTGGTCTAGTTAAAATGGCGACTTGCCGCATGAGTTGTGGTGCGTTTTAGTTGAATCTATCTCAGTTTCCAAGGGCATTTTAACAACCACCTTGCCCCCATTTACGCTGTCCATGTGAACGATGTTGCGGGTTCTGAAATCTGCCCCGTTTGTGTGCCAATATGTCGCGAAACCGGCTTTTTCGGCGCTGCTACCGGTGCATGGCAGCGCCTGCCTTTCCGTCGCTGCTCGACCTTTAACACGGATTTCACACGGTCGGGGACATGAAGGTATGCGACTGGAGCTCATTTTTATGACCTGACACGAACCCGCAGTCATAATACCGTTATTTCCGTTTAAAATATGTAAATCCATTGGGATCGGCTTATTATTATATATACCACTTTTTGGAAGCCTGCTTAACATTGTGTATGTCTTTTAATAGCTGTATGACCTGTTGTATCTATTTTAGTATTTGATTTTCATGGTGTAGTAAGTTAGTGAAAAGTGTCAGTGGTAACATACACATGAATAATTCCTCTAGTGTTGTTTTGTACAGTTGACATGTCCAGCACCTGTCAGTGCCTGCAGATCAATTCCGTACGAGCCGATTCCGTGCTTTCGTCTGTCCGCTAGTATAAAGGACTAACCCGCGTATGCAGTAGGGTTCGTGTCTTTTGTACATTTTATGTTTACAAGGTGTGCAAATTTGCTTACATGAAGCCCGATCACATTTATGGGCATTAGCTAATCTGCCAGCAGGGGGCGCGCTTGTGTCACACTGTTTGATGGTCACTGGCGTTCTATAAGTAAGACACCTTTATTGTCGTTTTTAAAGTGTGCAATGAAGTCTAACAACGCTAAAATCCAAACATGGGCGAGACACTCTACAGAGATAATTATGAAAAGGGCCCAGTGGGTGGCAATATAAAATTTGAAAAAATAATTTTGAGTAGAATAAGTGAATTAAAATAATTTTGACTTAACTGCATTATTCAATAAGTAGCAGCAATGGGTAGAATAATTTTGACTGCATTCTGTCAGTGCAGTTTCTAAGGTGCTCAGTAAACCATAATGGCAGTTGAGAGCTCAGTAATGTTAGGGTAATTGTGGTTTGGGGGGTGTGGTGGTTTGGAGGTTAGGGTTCTGGTGGTAGAAGGTGTATTTCAGTCTGTTTGTGCATTCTTCAACGGCCTTGTGCCGCTTGTCAGATGTCAGGTAGCAGGGAAGCAAACAGACAATGTCCAGGGTGAGTTGTGTCCTTCATGATGCCGCTGGCCTTTTTTCAGTCGGCTAGCATAGATGCTGTGCTGGTTCAGGAGTTTAGAGCCTGTGAGCCGCTTTCGCCGCCTGCTGTAAATCCCTCCGATTCTCGGCTGTGTGGCCGGTCGTTCCACACAGTGACGTGGGATGCTGTCCATGGTGCAGCGGGGAGAGTTCATCCGAAGGTGCAGAGGCAGAGTGGCCTTTGGAAAAGCAGCCTTTGCTCACCAGATGGGTGATGTTGAATAGCCATAAAAGATCATGAGGACTTTGTGTAGGGGAAGGTGGGTGATCCCCTGAAGTCTACCATTATTTCCTTGGTTTTGGTGGTGTGTAAAACCAGGTCGCTGATCATGCACCACTCAGCCAGGCGTTGCAACCTTCCTCCTCCTTATCTGCTGTCTGTCCCAAGCGGGTTTTACTCCTAACCCTTTCACACTTTTTACATTAATATGATTTTGTTTAGATGAAAGGCTGAGCTTCTTGATAATCTCTTGTTGGGCCACTCATACCGTTTTCTAAATGCAGTATGGTCCAGGTGATCGCAGGCCGCTGATCAGCTCTAACCCCCTTTCTGACCCGAGGGGTGTGGATGCGTGTGTATCTACGGGATTTATTCAGAGGCTTGTCATTTTTAAAGCGGATGTGCGTAATAGAAAACTCCAATACACTGCGTAAAAGAAAAGGACAAACGAGACACCAGGCGCCGATCGGAGAGGAGCTGAGCTCTTGCAGTAAGAGGACAGGATGTGGGAGACCAGAAGCGGCAGTTCCTCCGTCTCAAGGAAATGGCAGCTTTTATTCACACTTTCTGGCCCAAGTAGAACTTCAGAAGAGCTCTCTGCTCTGGGAGGCATTAAATGCAGCAGCCAGTCGCTGGTGTCCACAAACGGCACCATCTTGCATCCAGTAACAACCACAGCAACACGCACAGCTTGGACCTGCACGGATAAAATGTGTGTTTCTCAAACCATAATCGTGCTCGGTGGGGCTGATTAGCAGCTCTGATACGAGTGGCTGATAGTTTGCACTGAGCAGAATTCACTTTAAACATTTATGAAGTTCAGAGACTGATGTTGGCATATTATTCCAATGATTTAAGCGAAACTGCACGACTGTTAGGATTTAATTGCCTTTGACAGTCTGGAGATGTGTATCAGAATTTGTTCTGAGAATTTTATGATTTTGTCACTACTTAGTTTTGGTGTTAGATTTATGGGCAAATCACATCGTATCTGAGGGCACATCGCATTTTATCTGTTGATGTCCCATCAGACTGGTTCTCTGCCCTGTTTTTTCCATCTTCTGTGCTCTCAGCATTGGGAGGAAGCTTCGCTGTGCAGGCGGTGAGACACTACGCGCGCCCTTCAAGAAGAAAGAAAGGTACGGCTCCCCCCTGGGTGAGACCTTTGCGTGCCCGGTATCTGTTATACCCGGCTGTCTCGCTAACTTCAACCGCCCTGCTGCTCTCCTGTCCCCGCCAGCCCCCCCTAGCCAGCTCGACGACCTCTCCCCGGCCACGCTGAAGAAGGATTACGCAGAAGTGCCACTCCTTAACACGTCAGTCTAGCTTTAATAGCGTTTGGGTTTTGTATGATTTACAGACACATTTCACCCGAAGGCCTCTAGTGTCACAGTAGTCATTTAAACTCACGCACTTGCAAAGAAGTATAAACGCAAATGTTAAACGGTTTTAAAAGGTCATTGCAGTTCTTTAGGAAGCTCATTGTGCATTTTCTTCCTTCCCCCTTAGTCAAAATGTAAATAACCAACCGCGTGAGTTTTGTGTATTTAAAATGACTTTGTATTTGCAGGGCTGATGATTTGATCAAACGGCTTCTATCCCTGGAGCTGGGGAGCCATGTGAGAAAAACTCTCTTGCTTGTCAAAGTTTTGTGTGTTTATGATCCACGGATAAGAGGACAGGTGAAGTGCTCGCACATCTCATGGTGTGGCCTTTCCTGCCCATCTCTAATCAGAAAGATCGGCTGAAGGTGAAAGAACAGCAGCTGGTGGAGAAAGTCAGGAGGGATGATCATGATCGCAGCTCCACCGAAGTGAAGGGTACGCTGTGCTCGGAGGCGTTAGGGGGGGGGGGTGCGTGTGGCAGGAAATCTGTAGCAAGGTGCTAAAGCCCAGCACTAGCATGTCGCTAACGTAATGCTAGCAGGCGGTGAGTGTCATTCTGTGTGGCAGTGGGATTTTGGGTAGCGGCATGAGAACCGGCCGTTTGGCATGACCGCTGAGCGCCGCGTGTTTCTGCAGTGGCCCTCCTGACGGCACGGATCCGGAACTACCAGGAGCACATGCACAAACACCCCAAGGTGAGGCTTGTGCGAGGCAGGCGTGCCACGTCACACTGTTTTTCACACCGCCGCCATAGGGTAGGTGTGAAGATAAACATCCCCTATTTGGAAATTAATGTATCATGATATGCATTCGTGTCTCGCAAATTGCACTAATTTCACTGGCCTTTTTAAGCCAGCGATGATGATTCTGTTTATTATCTTTGCATGCATGTTACAAAAAGTGAAAAATGAAAAGTGATGCAGATTTTTATCATTCTGGAGAGAATCAGTTAGCTGGTTTTGAGCGGTCTGAAATGGATCCAGCCACTAGGGGGCGGTGTGTGGCTCACTAGGCTCAGCCTTCATGGCTGTGATGGGAAGGTCACCGGCCTCAGCAGAATAGCTATAAGTGCACGGGCCCATATCTCCCTATCACCAGGGTCGCTGACCCCGTGCTGCGACCCCCAAAGCTCACAACTTACCTCTTTATATGTGTCTTTGTGTCTCATGGGGGGCAAAATGGGACAGACGAAAAGAGAATTTTCCCGCGGGATTAATAAAATATCACCCTCCTAACCTGTGATGTCACGTTGCGGCAGGACAAAGCCAACAAGCGCCGCATGCTGATGGCCATCGACCGGCGGAAGAAGCACCTGAAGTACCTCCGCCGTACTCGGCACGATGCCTTCGAGCTCGTGTGCCAGCAACTGGGCATCACATACACTCTTCCACCGCCGTACTACAGGACCCTGACCAAGCGCTGGATGGCCAAGAAGGCCTTCTGCACAAAGGTGCTCCACCGTAACAACGTAACCCCCCCCCCCCCCCCCCCCCCCCCCCCCGCCCCCCCAGCGCTATGGTGGCTGAACACAAGCCACTGTAGACCTTTGTATGCACACAGCATTTACGTGACGCACCTATGCCTCACGCTCTACACCCCCGTTGATCTCAAGCGAGTGATAAATTAGCTTGTGCACATGATGTAATTGTCTTGCGCCCGCAAGATATCATCGTGAGCACACAAGAAATTAACAGAACTATAAAGCAATGGTCACCAGCCCTTCGTCTGCAGATCTACTTTTATTACTTACATTGAGCAATACATGACCATTTAATGTTGTGCACTGTCCCATAATGAGCTGCATGAAGCACAACATATTTGACATGATATTTAGAGTTATTAACCCGTTTATTTATTTCAATGCACACTGAATGCACAGTGTAATTAATAATAATTATACATATTTTGGGGGTAGCGTGTGGCTCAGTGGGCTAACCCTGGATGCGTCTGATCAGAAGGTTGCTGGTTCAAGCCCAGCCTCGAGGATAGACCACAATAATGTGGCACCTTGAGCAAGGCCCCTAACCCCTACTTCCCTGGGCGCTGCTGTAGGTGGCTGCCCTTCACAGCCAGATTGCCGTCACCTACGGAGAGCAAGTCGGAGGAGGCATAAAGAGAATTATCAGTTTATTTATTATTATATAATACATAAGAATGGTGTTTAGACCCTTTGTGCCACAAACACTCAGGGGACCTGTAAGTGAATGTGATGCATAAATGCCAACATTCAAAAACTAATTAAAATGTGCCTGTTAAGAAACCTGGATATGCAAGAGTTGTGCAAGATTTGCCACTAACTCTAAATGCTTAACTAATATCTCATTACAACTGGAATAGGCAATTTTTCGGAAATTAAAAGCTTTTGAAGATTAAATACAGATCGTGAAAGTGCTTGAATTGCAAACATGATCACTGCCTGTGTCCTGGGTATGGGGGATTGGTGGATAAGAGCTGTCTAGCTTGCAGTATAACAGAAATGTCTTTGTAAGACATTTCAGGATTGAAGTAGCATTTTATGAGCTGCGTTCGTCGCGAATTTATCACACAAGTGTCCTCAGTCCTCTGATTATGTATTGCACACAATATAATTGTGTATAAATATGCCCTCACAATAATATATTGTACTCACATTAATGGTTATATTTCCTATATTGTACGATACAAGCACAGTGGATCAGTGTCACTGTCCAATGGTGCCGGTATTGCTCACTGTCACGGGGTACCTACGTCATCAAACATGGCGGCGCCTTCAAAAACCTGCGTACGAGGGTCTACAGAGGCAGGCCCCCTGTCAATGTAAATATAACTACAGCTACACACTGGCCAAAAGGTGGCGTAGTGGTTAAGAATGCAGATTCGACCCACAGAGCTGACTCCCAAGAGCCCCTGCTGTAGGTCCCGTGTGCCAGCATACTGAACCTAAACTGGCCCAATATAACATTCAGCAAGGTGCCCTGGGTAATAGAGATCAGCTGAGTGTAATTAATTAATTGGATTAATCAGTATTGGGGTTGGGGTACCAGTCACTGACTGCTCTCCCTCCCCTAGGTCTTTGAAGTGATCCAGAGGCGGAGGGCGAAGGAGAAGGAGGCGCGGAAGGAGGCCGCCGCAGCCGCTACGGTGGTCCAGGAGGCGGCAGAGCAGGACGAGGATGCCCGGGGCACGGCGGCGTAGGGGTGGGGTCACGTCTACCCCTCTGTGACTCTCAGCACCACTGTGGCAGGAAGAGGACCGTACGCATTTCTCCTTTCTCAGTCGGGGCTTTGTTGGGCTGCCGCCTGACCGATTCAACCTCATCTAAAGATATTTTGGTTTTGGTTTTCATTGCATTACATGACTGATCCAGTTGGTGCACTTCCCATATCCAAGCCACCAAAAAGCCTGTCTCTGCAAATAGGACTGAAAGTCCATTTTATTGACACGTCTCTACCTTCTTTTCTGCTGTGAGCAGCTTGTTTCAGTACCCGATTTGGGGCAACGAAAGGAGAATTCTGTGTTTAGAATTCTTTAAATGTAGTCAATAAACATTTTGTCTCTGTCTCTGCTGTTTCTTTGCCACAACCCCCCCCCCCCCCCCCCCCAGTCCCCCCCTCACCTCCAAGGCTGGATTTACACACAGACTAACCTAGGCTGTGTCCAGGGGCCTGGAGTTATACCAAAAAAAGTTTTGGTTGTTACAACAGGTTGGGTCCCAATGATGATCTAGTCCAGCCCACCCCCCCTCCTTCACGTCCCATGAACTGTGTCAGTAAATGTCAATGTTATAATGTAAGCCTTTGGCTAGACATGACTTCACATACAGCAGCACTTGTATAGAATTCTAGGCTTCTAGACTGATAATCATATGACTTGCCAAGCTGCTACCATAACCCTCTGATGGAGAAGCAATTTGAAGACGGGTGAAATATTTAAATGTATCTAGCTGCTTGTCAGTCCTGCTGGTGTCTGTTTGAATGCACCCATCCCCCCCAAAAAAAAAGCTTCATGTTAATTTTCTAAGCACATTTACCTTCATGTATGCGGAGAGTGCATGTTAGTTAAATGTTTTGTGGATTTAAATTCAACACGTTTTTTTGGGGCCCTGCTTCCTGTGATAGACATGGGAATGAGCTGCTCGTGTTCTGAAGTGAGGCAGGAGTTTTGAAATTGCTAACTGGCTGTGTGAATCAGCTTCCTGTTTCTATACTGATGTGGATTTCACATCGGAAAGCGGGTCAGATGAGCAGAGGTAAGTACCCTCATTGCCCTTTCACTCGCTTCCTTCTGTACTTCTAAGTTGTAAAATAGTGGTAAAGCGATTTAATTATTTTACCAACTCATGCTTGGGATGCCATGTGTTGTCATGGTTCATTACCAGCAGCTGTGTTTGTTTCTATTAACATTTTTGGAATGTGATGAAGATTTTTGCAAAACCAAGGTACCACTGCCCTCTTTTAAATCCTGTGAGGCAATTTGTAAGCTATGCAAACCATCGCTATTGAAAGGAGAGGGATTTTTTTGAGTAGTTTTTCCTCAAATAATGTAACGTTCCTATAAACCATGCCTTAAAGTTAGTTTAAAGAAAGTTGGCTCTCTTTGTATTTGTGAGGGTTGGAATTTACGGTCTTGGGTTTTTGAAAGTACACAGTTCCATGCCATATTTATTTTGTAGAATTAGCTTGGCGAATTGCAGATGCAAACACTGGCAGCTTTAAGAATGTGCCTGCAAATTTACTCTGATGAGCTAGACAAGAGCAGGTTGCTGTGTGACGGAAACCATCAGAATGACTCACAACTACTTTGCGTGAGCTTGTTTTCCAACCTCAAAGACCGCCATGATGAAGTCTGCCATCAGCTGAAGGACATCTTAGGGATTCCGTGCAGTTAATCACAACCTGAGTGACTCTAATATCTTATTTGCTCATTTACGACTTTGGCTGCAAGCTGCTCTGTTGACATATTTCCGATTAGTGTTTTATTCTGGTGAAATGTCAACATCTTGCAGGAAACATCTACTTCACCTGAGGCAGAATCTAAAGCACTCTGTCTTAGTAGCACTGTGTAAATTTCAGTGACATATAGGAAATTATTTTATTTCCTAATTCAGGGTAACTGTGACAGTAATTGCCTTCAGCGACGACTCTGCACAGCATTTGATGACATATCCAGTCAGGGTGGGGGTGACCCATGATAAAACCCAAGAAGCCACAGTAGTTCACACGTCACTTACTCATATAGTCAGATACTTGGGTCCCACACAGCGACAGAACAACTCTGACAGGCTCCCAGAGCTGAAATTCAAAAGTTTTTCTCTTCAGCGGCCTGAGGTCTTTCTTGGATTGACATGACCAACCCAGTGGTCTCTCAGCAACCAGGGGCAGGTTCCTATGGGACCAACGTGCAGACCGGCGACTGGAGCACAGGCCTGTGCTCCTGCTGCAGCGATATCATGGTCTGTAAGTATGAAAGCAGTGGATGGCATATCAGTGGCATCTCCATGACAACAAGCGCATGAAAGTGGATGGGAAATGTATAACAGTATGTGTATTAAAAGCCCCAGCACAGAAAGACTTAAAACTGACTCGGCACTTTTATGTCTATGTCTTAAAAAAGATAGGAAACAAAACTTGACCGACAATCATATTAACATTTTTACATAAACTGCTGTCTTGAATAAACCCTTGACTTATTAGTTAAATGAATTTCCTATGTTTAGCGTTTCTCTCTCTCTCTCTCTCTCTCTCTCTCTCTCTCTCTCTCTCTCTCTTCCTGCTCTAGGTGCGCTAGGCTGCATTTGTCCGATAGCACTTGGTTGCTACACATCACATAAGTATGGAGAGAACCTGTTGCTTGCTTGCATTCCCGGAGGAATGACAGCTTTGAGGACCCACATGAGGCTGACGTATGGCATCCAGGTAAAAGAAACTGGAGCTGTTATCTTATAAAGACAGCCACTGGAAAGACTTAAGGTGGCGTGCAACTCGCACGCAGGAAACTGTGCAACGTTTGTGCAAAGACTGGAGTTAAGCAAATGTTGCGCTGGATTGCTTTTACTGCCGTTATGAAAGACTAAAGAGGCACATAGAATGGGTGGCTGGTCAGAGTTGCATAAAATGACTTGTGCAAATATGTCACTGAGAAAGAGCAAATTGGTGATGGTTTCGGAGGTGTATTCGATTATCTACAGGACGTTGCAAAACACCCGTGTACACGTTGCAAAATGAACTAAAGAGAGAGGAAAACGAGTTAAGTGTTTTTCGGTTGCACATACGTCGGTACTAATTCGCAGAAATCTGTATTTCTTTCAGGGCACAATATGCAACGACGCCTTAATGACGTTCTGCTGCGGGCTTTGTGACACCTGCAGGATGGCCAGAGAAATTCGTATCCGGAATGGCGAAGTTTGAGCATTTATGGAATCAGATTTGTACCAAAAATAAATTTGAAAGAAAATAAAACTCACTGAAATAAAAAAATATATATATTTTGTAACTTGCAAACAAATTAAGGTTATTCTGCCAATGGAATAACTTTGTCACGTATTACTTATCGTTAATTATATGCTGTTGCAGGGTTGCCAACTCATGCATCTGGCGTGACAGGCTTTCAGACTCTCCTCTCACACAAGAAATCTTACGGCAAATCTATATTATTCCATTACAAACCTAAAACTAGCTACATCAGAAGCATTGAGCCCCTACAGACTATTTACAAGTTAACAATTCTATTACGTACATGTAAATGAGCGTGCAGACTGATCTCGAACTGAAAATTTTCAAGCCAGCCAGCTAAACAAAGTTGGCAAACCTGTATGAACCCTGCTTTAACTCAAATAAAACAACTGCAAACTATATTTGTTGTTTCATTTCGTGTCGCATGGGGGCAGCCGCCTGCTGCAGACGCGACGCGGCGCAGCAGCTGAGTGAGCACAGGATGAACGGCGAGCGGCTCCGCGAGTAAAACCCTTTCCGATTGGCCGCCAGTAAAACCCTCTCTGATTGGCTGCCAGTATCCGTGGCCTAGCAACCAAGTGTCTCGGAAACGCATCAGCTATTCGAGCTAATCGACTAGTCAGCTAGCTTTGGGGGAACCTTCTCAGCCGTTTACCCTGTTTAAACGTAAAGCCAGGGAATATGTCGTCGAAGACGCTGCCCCTGTTGTTCATTAATCTGGGCGGGGAAATGTTGTACATCCTGGACCAACGCCTGCGAGCCCAAAACATCCCGTCGGATAAGGCAAGGAAAGGTAATGTACCGGTGCGGTTCACGGTGATGCAAAGCGAGGTAACGCCGCTATACCTGCTACAGTAGCTAGTTGTGGTTACTGGGCGCTGAACTCGTGGACTAGAACTTCAAGTAGTTGGACTAGCTCAACCGAAACTAAGGTGTGGTACACCTCGCTAGCTTCTTGGCGAGTTATGTTAACTGTACCCTGGAATGAGCAGCGGGCAGATACATCTTACCTACATAAAATGTGTTTAAGTAGAATGAGTGCAAGTGGCTTTCCTGTTGACCTCTAGGAAAAACTATCCAGGCAGTCGATTCCATGCAGCATAGGGCATAAGCAGCCTGGGCAGGAGAGAAACACAACGGGCAGTTTACAGACTCCAGTAACATGGAGAGAAGATGGAAAGTCCATACATGTGCAACAGGAAGGAGCCTCATACCCTGGAGAAGTAAAGCAGTGTTTCCCAGCCCAGTCCTCAGGGAACTGTGGCCAGTCCACGTTTTTGCTTCCTCTCAGCATCGATCTCAGCATTTAAGTACACCAGTGTTTAGTATTTATGCGTTTGTCTATTTATTTATGTTCATTATAAAATGTATCATCCGGACATCATCTTTTGAGGTGAAGTACACTTGTTTTGCGTTTTTGTGCCCCCCCTTCCTTAATCATACAGTGCCTCACTGTGTCAGGAATATGTAGAGGCTGCTTCCAGTACAGAAGTGATGCAAAGGCAAGATTCAGACTGCCTGTCTTCCTGTAGCGTTTATTAAGCCGACCCACCCAACATGACGCTGAGTCAGCTCAGTTCACCCAATGGTCAGTCTGCGACTGTTGCCTGTCCTGTTCTCCTTGTAACTCGTCCCATAACATGTCACACTATAGCTGATTGGACTGAAGGAGACAGACGTAAAGGTACAGTAAATGCTTCAGTGTAACACAACAATCTTGCTGGCTAAAGGAATGATAGATAGATAGATAGATAGATAGATAGATAGATAGTGTCTGTTTTGCTTTTTGTTCCTCGTGAAATGTCTTGCTTAGGTGCACACATTGAACACGACTATCTTTGAAAAAGTTCCATAAATTCCTTTTAAATAGTCTCCACTTAGAGTGCCAGAAACATTCGTTTTCTTTCGCTCTAATGCTTGCTCTTGCTTCCTTTAGCTAGGCCATGCCCGTGTCACACGCTGCTCATATTTTTCACGGCTTATTCCACCACTTCAGCATGACTATGTGCCAGTAATTATTCTGGTTGGTTTCAACTATGTTTCACAAAGCCCCTTTTCACCATGTAAAAGTTTGTAGCATAAATAACGACCGCTGTCATCACCTCTGAACCCACTTTCACCGCTAATCTAACAGCCGTAAAGTCGTGGCCAAACGTTTTGAGAATGATTCCAGTATTGTTTTTCACAAAATTTCCTGCTTCGGTGTTTGTAGATCTTTTTCTCAGATATTTCTATGGTATACTGAAGTATAATTACAAGCATTTCATAAATGTCAAAGGCTTTTATTGACAATTACATCTAGTTTATGCTAATAGTTAATATTTGCAGTGTTGGCCCTTCTTTTTCAAGAGCTCTGCAATTGGCCCTGATATGCTGTCAATCAACTTCAGGGCCAAATCCTGATTGATGGCAGCCAATTCTTGCATAATCAATGCTTGGAGTTTGTCAGAATTTGTGGGGTTTTGTTTGTGCACCCACCTCTTGAGGATTAACCACAAGTTCTCAATGGGATTAAGGTCTGGGCAGTTTCCTGGCCATGGACCCAAAATGTTGATGTTTTGATCCCCAAGCCACTTGGTCAGCTGGTACTTTTGCTTTATGGCACGGTGCTCCATCATGCTGGAAAAGGCATCGTTCATCACTGAACTGTTCTTGGATGGTTGGGAGAAGTTGCTCTCGGAGGATGTTTTGATACCATTATTTATTCATGACTGTGTTCTTAGGCAAATTTGTGAGTGAGCCCACTCCTGTGGCTGAGAAGCAGCCCCATACATGAATGGTCTCAGGATGCTTTACTCTCAGGATGCACACCTTTTCTTCTCCGAATAATCTTTTTTCTAGATGCCCCAAACAATCAGAAAGGGTATCCATCAGAGAAAATGAGTCACTTTGCCTCACTGTGTGTGCAGATGCACTCACACTTGTCTGCTGCCATTCCTGAACAAGCTCTGCACTGGTGGTGCCCCGATCCCAGCTCTGAATCAACTTTACGAGACGGTCCTGGCGCTTGCTGGACTTTCTTGGGCGCCCTGAAGCCTTCTTCACAACAACTGAACCTCCCTCCTTGAAGTTCTTGATGATCAGATAAATGGTTGATTTATGTGCAATCTTACTAGCAGCAATATCCTTGCTTGTGAAGCCTTTTTTGTGCAAAGCAATGATGACTGCACGTGTTTCCTTGCAGATAACCATGGTTAACAGAGGAAGAACAATGATTTCAAGCACCACCCTCCTTTTAAAGCATCCAGTCTGCTATGCTAATTCAGTCAGCATGACAGAGTGATCTCCAGCCTTGTCCTCCTTAACACTCTCACCTGTGTTAATGAGATAATGAATCACTGGAATGATGTCAGCAGGTCCTTTTGTGGCCAGGCTGAAATGCAGTGGAAATGGGTTTTTTGGGATTAAGTTCATTTTCATAACAAAGAGGGACTTTGCGATTAATTGCAATTCATCTGGTCACGCTTCATAACATTCTGGAGTATATGCAAATTGCCATCGTAAAAACTGAGGCTGCAGACTTTGTGAAAACTAATATTTGTGTCATTCTCAAAACTTTTGGCCACAACTGTATAGCTGGTGTCCATGGCTAACAAAGGGTTGTTTTTTTAACCCTCAGACCCAGGTCCTCCTACTGCTCCCTGTAACTGTACCACTTCTGCTAATCAGTCTCACAGGTGGAGCTGCTTCCAAGATGACAGGACATAGATTATGCATGACTGTGCTACTTAAAGAAATACTATAGAGTGGTATCACTTCAAATCCTACGCTGAACATGTTTGTCCGCTCAAAGTGGTCTCCATCCTTCTTTGGTTTTCAAAAACATTTGGAAGAAGTGGCACGTTCCAAAAACCAGCGAGCCTAAGCATCTCCTGATCACACTGCTCTCTTACTCAAGCCGGTAGAGTGTGCGTTTCTGCTTGCTGTATTCAGTGCCTCCTCACACCTGTCCATGTCCCCTTGTGACCCTAACTTCACCCTTCTCTTTGTGCGCTACACCCCCGCTACCCATTGTGTGTCCTGCAGTCATGAATGACATCATCACCACCATGTTCAATAAGAAGTTCCTGGAGGAGCTCTTCAAGCCCCAGGAGCTGTATTCTAAGAGGGCTCTGAGGACAGTGTTCGACCGTCTGGCGCACGCCTCCATTATGAGGCTCAATCAGGCCAGCATGGACAAGGTAAGGGCATGATGTCATCAGAGTGTTTTGTTTGGCATGGATAAGCTGTGTGTTGTGTCTGTCATAACTGGTGCTTAGTGTTAGAAAGGTCACAACGTTTGCCCTTTATTTTCTCTGCTATTCATTCCATTCCTGTCCAGCTTTACGATCTAATGACCATGGCCTTCAAATACCAAGTCCTTCTGTGTCCGCGGCCCAAGGATATGCTGCTGGTCACTTTCAACCACATGGATGCCATCAGGGACTTTGTGAGAGACTCGCCCAGCATCCTCAACCAGGTGGACGAGACATATAGGCAGCTGATTGAGGTAGGCTAGCATCTCTCCAAAGCTGGAAGATACATGAGTGGTGTATTTTCCTAAACAATAAATAAAAAATCAGAAATGGGGGTTAGAGCAATTTCACCATTGGGCGCTGAGCAAGGCCCTTAACCCCCAATTGCTCTAGGGACTGTCTGAGCCTGCTTTCGACTGCACATCATTCTGAGCCGGCTTTCGACTGCACATCACTCTGAGCCGGCTTTTGCCTGCACATCACTCTGAGCCGGCTTTCGCCTGCACATCACTCTGAGCCGGCTTTCGGCTGCACATCACTCTGAGCCGGCTTTCGGCTGCACATCACTTTGGACAAAGATTTGTTATAATCCACAAAACAATTATGCAAAGCACAGAATATAATCCAGGGCGTGTCTGCGTCTGCCCCAACAGCCCATCATTTTTTGATTGTCCCTGTCATTACAGATGTACACACCACTTTCTGGAGGTGAATTTCAGCTCATCCGGCAAACACTGCTAATTTTCTTTCAGGACATGCATATACGGGTGAGTCTGCTTTTCTACTTCCTGCACATAGATGCATGCTTCTGCAGTCATGTAATTTTTCAATTTTTTGTAGATGTATTAGCATTGAAAGTACTATAAATAGACGAGCGGGAACGGCATTTAAAGTTGCCTTTTTTAAAAGAATGGAATAATAATATAAATTGCACACTTATGCTTTTTTTCAGGTTTCAATCTTTCTCAAAGATAAAGTCCAAAATTCCAATGGCCGTTTTGTTCTTCCGACATCTGGGCCTGTTCCGTATGGAACACAGATCCCGGGTTTAATCAGGTAAAAACGTTCTTAGACTCTTTAAAAACTCAGAGAGGCGACGCACACAATCCCACTCGTCCCATGTAATACAACCTCTCTTAACCAACTTTTCTTTCATTGTGTTTTCATCATAAATTATGTCAACTCTTCGCTCATTATGATGTGCAAACCTTACATTACGATAAACTAGTCACTGGTCTGATTTGCTTGAAAATGGTCCATATTAATGAATTTCACAACCGATTGTTTTAAAACTGGGGATTCTTCTTCAGACTACTTATCTTGGACAGGGTCCTGGATTGGTCCTGGAGTCTATCCCAGGCAGCACAGGGTACAAGGCAGGGGGACAACATGGATGGCATGCCAGCCCATCACAGAGCACATGCACACACAAGTCTGCACACGGTGGACAATGCAGAGATGCTGCTTAGCCTAACTGCATGTCTTGGACTTTAGGAGGAAACTAACTGGTGTGCTGGGAGTAAGTTCGAAACTTTCCATGGGAATAAACAGGAAAATATGGGAATTAATGGGAATAAACTGGAGTAGTAATGTATGCATAAAACACCCCAAAATAATTATCTGCATCAAAACGCACTGCTTGTAAGTCATACTCTATGTTGTATCATTCATACAGTTTGCTTTCTTTGCTGTATCTAACAGGTCGTGCAGAGATCCATGGAGTTTATTTCCAAAATTCCCCAACTTAACTTCCCATGGAAAATTTCTGAAAACTTCCCATAAATTTTCCACCCCTTTGCAACCCTTGCTGGGAGGAATCCCAAGTGACAGAATGTCCATCCGTAGAGGTGTAAGGCAGTAGTGCTCCCCATTGTGCTACCATGCTCTCCTACTGTATTGTTCAAATCAGCAGAATTGCACCACCGGGTACTTTGAAGTTTAAGCTGCTTGCTAATAGGTTTCTAACAAAATAAACCTGGCAGCACCACTAACAACTGCATGTTGTATATTATTGTGGATGGTGTCCCATCAAGGGTGTGACTTGCCTTGAGCCCTCTGTCTGGGTTTTGCCACTCAGAGGCCTTGCAATATACCGGTCAGTCACAGACCAGAAGATATGCGGTATGCTTACAAGCTCATTACTCATAACAGGAAAAAGAAGAGGGATCTGTTTTTATCCAGGCAGAGAAGTAAGAGGAAACAGCAGCGGGCAGCTTGGAATGAAGATGCGGGGGCTTAATGCAAGTCACAGGCATGGCTCAAGACGGGAAGGGACTGAAAAAAGTCCATCTATTTCTGTTGGCCACATATGATATTAGAAGATATTTAAAGAACCGGTGATATTTGATAATTTCGTTACAGCGAATACCTGAAATGTTTTTACCAAAATTATGTTTTACTGAAGAGTCACTCCTAAAGATCAGGTGTAGTTTAGAATCGTAGGTCGGTGTGCTGGATGCTTAAAGATATAAGACATGGCCAAACAGAACATTGCCGTTGCAGTGAAGCATCTCAGGACTGGATGCTTAGACAGGCATTGGCTGATTGTCTCTGGGTTTGATGAAGTGCCACAGGCCCAGGGAAACAGTGTTCTCCACAGGAGATAAATGCGTTTTAAATGGCACAAGACTTTAAGCAGCATTTCCTTCTGTCATGTTCATACTGCTGTAGAAAAGTGATCGCTAAAAGCCATTTACCAAGAAATAGTGAATTTGATCCTCAGCCCTTTCTGGATGTCGCATGTGATATAAGGTCCTGTCTTTGTTTTCCCGGGAATTTTCTCTAGAATTCTGCTCTAATTTATCTTCTGAAGAGTGCTGAATTTGATCAAATGTTTATCAGAGTTAAGTTCATGCAGGGAACTGTTAAAAATGAACATTTTGGCTGTGCAGATATGGCACGGATCATCACCGTAAGGTCTGGTGGCGGATGAGGCTGGAGTTAAACAGCGGTCAGGTTTCAGTGTCAGCTTGGTGGGGATCAACTTCCGCAGCAGAGCTGAAAGTAAACCAGAGAATAACTGAACCAGCTTGTGCTTTTATAAGACAGAGTTGGGTTAAATCGAGATCTCGCCTCCACCCGTGTGGCCAAAAAGCCAGAATCTCCTTCACCCCTGTCAGGCGGCATTTCCCTTATTCTCAGCACATCCTTGCTTGTCATATAGCATCTAGTCTTTTGTGTGCAGAACAGCAGTAAACTTCTTGCTCTTTATATAGCAAGATATTGTGTCAGATACTCAGAAGGGCTGCAGGCACAACTGTGTCACACATATCCACAGACCCCCACCCCCACTGGAGGGGCCCCAGAGTCCCTTAACAGACTGCATGCGGTTCAAACCACGGGCGTCTCAAACAGACTTTATTCCACAAGTGATCATTACCCTTGGAATGCCTCACATGTCATGGATGTTACTGACCTCTAAGCACTTTTTAACACCTTTGCTTCCAGTTTAGCTGAAGAGGGTTCACGTGATGGTACGCAAATATAACACAAGCTAATATGAATTCCTCCATCTCATGGAACCCAATGATGACTATACAGCTTCTTGTAGCATGTTCATCAAAACATCTTATTGTCTCTGCTCCAAGGAGCTGGCGTCGTTGTGGTTTAACAGCCGTCGCAGGTGTGATCACACTTGTTGCACTGTAAAAAGCAAACATGTGTCTGAAACCATGCAAACCTTGTTTTCTTTTGCTTATGATATGTGATTCTAATTATGGGATTGTGATTATAACACTTGGTACATTGTATATGTCTTTTCTTTGCAGTTCTTTTTCTTTGCAGTTACCTCACAGAGTGAACTGTGCTTATGCTGCTGCTGACCCACTCGATCCTTTCGGTTCACGGAGTTCAATGCTCCAGATTTTGTGCAGAGGACTTTTACTTAGGTGGAGGTGGAGCGAAATCCCCAGTTGGCCCACAGGCCCCCAGGGTCCCATCAATCGAGACCTGCTAACGTGATATGTGTCACCGTCTGGCAGGACGTTCAGCTGCACCGGAGAGGAGGTCAACAGGGTCCAGTTCCGCAGTGCAGGCAACTACACGGCCGCCCTGCGCGAGGGGTCCTTCGAAATGCATGGCGATAGGGTCATCAAGCTGGGCACTAACATGTGAGTCCAGCCACTGCATGGCTCTCCTCCTGACCAACGAGGTGGTGTTTCTCTTCTGAGCTGCACATGTGAAAAATACTGTGTTTCCAGTGTTGGGCATTTTAGGTCCAGAAGCTACAAATTCCTGACCAACTGGTGGGTAGAAACAAAATCTGGACCTGAAATGCCAAACACTGTCTGTTTCATACCCAGTTTAGATTTTTGAGGGAAAAAAACATTTACTGTACGTATTGTATTCTGGGAAATTCTACCTTAGAAATTATTAGCATTCTTGACAATAATCGAAGAGTTCTAGTTTTCTGGAGTTCCTTATTTTAACAAAACCAGAGCACAATGTGAGCACCTGCAGTCCTACTTTATCTGCCCCCCCATCAATTAATGGCCTAGATCCCATCCCCACCACCACCACCTCAAAATAAAAAAAAAATTTAAAAACCCTCTCAGAGGTTTACTCAAGTGTCGTCCTGGATGTTTTAGAGGACCACTGGTGAAGGTTAATTTGAGCTGTTTGCCTATTAACCAGAACCACTATTTTGACTACTTTTAGCTTTTATCCACGAAAACATTTGTTGTGTAAGTGTTATTTCATCTCTGTATACAACTGGATCATTCTGGAATGTTCCTGTAGTCCTGATTTAGTGCCCAGTTGAAGGGCACAACAGCATGACCCTCCTGGGGCTCTAAAATGTCAAATGTTTTGGTCACGAGTCCGAGCTTAACCGCCATGCTGGCCGGGTTGCTAGGAAGCGAGCGACTGCCCGCAAAGCCAGCAGAAACACTGTCCTCTTTATGGTTTCAATAATTCATTTTTAAAGCTCCCCCCCCCCCCCTTTCCCGTTCTGGCTCGCTGCTCATGGCCTCGGGTTCAGCTTCTGACATTTCCCTCAGGTACGGCGTCAGCCGCGCTGTGGAGACACACATGTCGGGGACGTCCAGGAACTCCTCCCAGCATACAAAGGTAATCCAATCAGCCACTGAATATGTAATGAAAGCACTTACCAGTCTTTGTTGTCTGACCTTGTATGTCTTGCAATGGTTCCCCACACCCAGATCAGGTTTTGTTTTTTAATGCGACCTATGTCCAACCCATGACCCCATCACCCCCACTGCTACAAGAGGGTGTGACATTACATCATCCCTGCAGGCGTATATAACCGCTGATGGACAGGGTGATTATTCTGAGCCCTGGCTCTGTCATCAGCTGAGGATTTTCACACGTGCAGGTGAACACCGCTCCCAACCCACTGGCTAAGAAAGAGCTCAACCTTCTGGCCCAGTTAATGGGAGGACTGGACATGCAAAAGCCAGTGGGTAGCGACACCAGCTTCCGGGTCAACCTCTTCGCCACGGACGAGGAAGAGGAGTGAGTTCTGCCGGTGCTGCTTTTTCCTGCCTGTACTTCTGACATGTCAAGCGGTCCTTCAAAGCCACACCCAGAAAAATGTCATTCTCTCCCCCACTCCCCCCACCCCTAGGGAAGCTTTGATGTCAAGACCTGCAGAGCTTTCGTACGAAGTCATAAATATTCAAGCAGCTAAGGTAAAAACTCCAAATCCAAATGGCTGATTGTCCGTTAGCTTGACCACAGCACATGGCATAATTCCTCTGGCGTGTTGTATGCCCGGGCGGTCCTGGGTCACTCACTGCATCTACTAAGAAAGGCCACTTTCAGGTTTACGTCATGTTGCTAAATGTCGAGGTTTAAGCGTGTTGCTTATATGCCCATTTTCCCCCTGAAGGCTGAGTACCCAAATGTGGTTCACATGTGACCTGTGACCTTCAGTATGAATGTTTTTTTTTAAATCTGCTATCTGAAAGGTTGCAGAGACCCTGGGAGTGGCCTGGTCTGCCTCCTCTGCAGGGTGCCAGTCATACCAGTATGAGTAAGCTTAACACCATTTGCTTGGCCTTCCAGGACCAGCAGACCAACGCGGAGCTGGCTCGCATCATGGGGGAGTTTGCGGACGAGGGGGAGCCATCGGCGACTCCCAGCAGCAAAGGAGATGAGCTCCTGGCCATGATGGATGGGCTCTGATGCGTCGTCGTGGTGACAGCCTGGTGGGAGGGGTTTTGGTCGGAAGCGGAGCCTGGAACTGCTGGGGTGGGCGGGACCCGGCCTGCCCTTTCACCACGCGAATAGGCTTCCCGTTCACAACAGAAACCTCCGGATTGCTTTACACAGACTTGGGGTTACGCTGGACAAGGGAAGCAGGGAGCCTCGCTATCAGGGAGAGGCTACGACAGCGGAGAAACACAAGCTCAGTCCGAAACGTCGCACGGTGTCGTTTCTGTGATGTAGAAAGCGAAGTGTTTCTTCAGAGAGCGAGACCGTTTACTCACTGCGTGCTCGTTTTTGTGTTACTAGGAAAAGAAGCTCACAGTGGCTGTTTGTTTCCCAGTTATATATGCACTGTGCTATTTTCACGCTTTCCAGATGATTCTGTCATTCCAGTTTATAGGATAGAGATATTTAAAGGCCCGGAGAAAGGATGAAAGAGCACTTTCACGGTATTTCAAAGGCTTATGATCCCAAAAAAGTGAAATGGCTTTGTATATGTCAAAAACGTGAGTCCTAAGCCCACAAGACGTTTACCATGGTTTAACCTCAGCATTACAAACAATACATCGGCATCAATGTGACCCGGTGTACGTGTATTATTATTAATGACTGGCTGATTACGTTGATTAAGGTGTACATATTATCCAACTGCACTCCATTAGAAAGGAACCTGCAAAATTCATTTCAGGGGCATAAACTGTATAGTTGTATATTTGATGTTCACGTATTTGTAAATGGTAGGGTTTATTTATTGAAACATACATGTTAAAATCTGTGTTTATGTTGTTAAATTGTAATAAAATCGTGTTTAAAAGTAAGATTTTGTATTAGATTAATAAAATGTTTAATGTCTGATGTTTTCTTCTTTAGATCTTATTCATTAACTATCATTTTATTTCAAAGATTATATACGATGTTTCTCGTATAACATCGTACCGATGTTTTGATATAAAACATTGTTATAAGCATAGATTTCGTGTACTGTTTAATTTTACAATTTAAATATAAATGGTATGGATACATATGTCAATGCAAGTAAATAATCAGTAAATATACTTAAACTCGCAGTGCATTATATATTTAAAGGAATCATTTGACGAGGCGCTGCAAAGCGATCTTAAAGATGCTGGTTTGCGTGGCGGGTGCTCGTGATCCCTACCTATTTCTCAGCGACTAGATAACTAATCACAACTAACACACTGCGGGGCGCTGGAAACTATTATTTATTTTTTATGTGTATTAACAAACACGTGTAACAACGTCTAGTTTCGTGAGAGTCAAATTCGGACGTTAACCTGGAATAACGTTGTTTTCTTTTCTATCGTTTTTTTCCCTATATTGAGCCAATCACCGCACTGTAGATTATATTCTATCTATTCTGGATAGTCCTTAAAATCATATTACCGCACCATTAACGCACAGTAGCCTACCAGTAACACAAATGTGGGATTTACCTTTCAATGACCGTGTTCATTTAAACATATCAGCAATAACATTGGGTGCCACTTCGAAGCCGTCATTGGAGCTCCAGGGTAGTGAAACCTGTTCCTTCCTTTAATCGTTAGTAGTATTTTCTTGCAGCATAATTCTGTGTCTATAATGAGTAACTGGCTGAGGGGCACCTGGATCTGGTCCTATATTTATACCACAACAGCATAGCTCTTAGGCCGAACCCAAATATCCTTTTAAGGTTCCACACGCCGACCTCAGCCAGTATAGCCCACCAAGTGGGGGCAGTTTTCACCCCGTCTCCCCAAATGCTTACCTTCTTGTGTGCGTCTAAATCTTTGAAGTGCTAATTTAGCCTCCCACTCAGGTTCCAAGCACACTCTAGATGCACATCTCTGCAGGCAAATAGCTCAAATCCACTGCACACACCAATTGTCCTCAGAACTTAATTGTGTTTTCCATGTAATCTTTCCTGCAGTGAGTCTCTGCCTGGTACCTAAGTGTGGTAGACATAAATGGACCGGTACGGACCCCCCAGGGAGTACGTGCAGTGAGGTGGGCTTCCACTCTAAGCAAACAGCATGGGCAGGTAATGCTGATCCTGGATCAGCCCCTTCATCTGAGAGCAGGGGGTCACCATTCCATGCATACACGGGCAGACGTGTTCATGGCAAGACACTTCTATGTCAATGGCAAAATGTTTTGATCAAAATGTGCGTCAGAATTCACCATGGTGCTGATTGCTGTCTCAGAGCAGGGGCAAGGGCGGAAGACCTGTACCCCCAATATTTAATTTGAATTCATTCATCCTCCCCAATAAACAGATCATTGTATTAAAATTATTAAATTGTGCACCCCACCGAAATCCAGCAGGTAAGGCCTGGTGATATTCTAAGTCAGTTGGGATGCGGGTAGTGAGAGTCACAGTCACCACTGAGACTCAGTGACGTGGCACTTCATCCGTCTCACTCCCACACGTCTTTCTCTTCCTCCCACGCCAGTGAGGCACCCGTAGCTCGATTTGACTTTTTCGTGAACAGTAATAACAAACACCCCCCCCCCCTCCACCCACACGCACACGTCGATTTATCAGAAAGCTTGTGCTCACACAGAAAGCTCATGAGAAATCCCTAACTGTGGTAATTCCTTGTTTGAGACAGCCATGATGGGAACAGACCATGTTCTTAAATGATTACTTCCTCCTTTTCTGTTAATTAAAACAGAATTTGCCTTTATTCTAGAGGTCATCCTGGAGCAAAAACAATGACTGTGCAGTCTCAGAGGGGAACTGACCCCTAGCGAAACTACAAGACAACAGGAATCCTTAACTTTTCTTCCCCTACTTAACATTTTCTGTAACCTGTCAAAATGTCTGAAGGGTTCTGTTTTAGCTCCATGATAAAATCGCACCCAGTGGCCGGAAAGTAGGGAAGGAAATGTATGCTTCCTTCCTAACCTTTCTGAAGAAAAGGCCAGCGATCAGGGTTATGCCGCAACACCCCCTGACATCACCACATGGACATAAAAAAATGTACCCCCCCCCCCCCCCCATTGATAGACGAGAAAATGGCAGTAATGCCACTAGATCACAGGCCGTATGTGGCCGGGGGTGCTTGAGGACCAATCTGCCAGGCCTCTGCCAGCCCTATGAGCCAGCAAACAGGGTCGCCATGGAAATGGCCCCATACCCATTCGAGTGCCATTTGAGAGTAAGAGGAAACTGACCGTGGGCAGTATTTCAGAACTACCTCCCCACACTGCCCCCGAATGCATAGACAGTGTGACACAGCTAAATACACAGAGGTATCTGATGTAGACAAGTGCAGATGGAGATGGGGGTGGGGGAACTCTCCAGATGGGTGATTTTCTAAGCCAGCACTACCAAACAGCGCACTGTTCTCTCTCCCAGATAGCACATCATGACCAAAATCATTCCCCTCCCCCAGCCCAATCACCAGGTCTGCTTCCCATCATGTCTTTATGCCATAATCCCCTGGAGGACCCAAGGACATCACTGCAGGTTAAATTTAGGTGTCTCTTTAAAAGCCTGTTTTTCCCCTCACTTTTTGTGCTGCACTTTTTTGTCGAGGATGAGCCGGATACGGCATCCACAGCGCTCATAATGCCAAAGGTCAGGCTTGGCCCCGGAGCCCAGAAAAGCCGCTGGACCGTGTGAGGAACATAGCAACAGGATCAGGCTGTGCCGAGGGCAGGCGGAACAAACCTGGGCAGAGGCCTGGAAGGGGCGGGGTGGGACTGCCGCCGGAGACTTCCGAAAGCACAGGGTTCCTATTTCAGGTGAAGCTCTAGGGAGATACTGGTAGCTGGGGAATAGTGGTGCGTTCCATTCAAACTGGGAACTCGTCATTTCTGAGTGCCTAGTCGGAAATTTCAACTGGAACGCCCTCTGAAGTTGGCGTTCTGAATCGGAGTGTCAGAGGAACCTCTGCTGAATGATGGCTGTATTATTTATTAGCGTCTTGTGTCTTATTTGTGTCTCATTAAATTGGTTGTACATACAGTTCTGTCAGACCGATCTGTGGACATGTTGCTAGGATATTTGTATGTGCAAAATACTGCGTAATGCTTTGTTGTCAACTGGTATTGCTACCAATGGCTAATAGTGAACCTGGCTAGAACTGGTATTGCTAAATGGCTTTCTGACTTGTTGTACTGGAACGTGGTTAACCCAGCTGTGATGTAATTCCCAGCTCCACATTCCAACCTCCGAGGTAAATAGAATGCAGCGTCAGCACTTTCCTCATGGCTTCCTGGTCTGGGGCCGCATCAGACCCCTTCTGATTGGCTCCCCAGCTGAGATCGTTGTCACTCTGACAGCCCTCAGCTTCTGGAGGCCTTGAGTCTCCCTCTCACATCATTCTGAGGTTGCTCACTCCCGCAAATTTTGTGTTCAAGGCCAACAAAGGAAAGACTGGGCACCAGGCCCCTAACTCATACTAGGCTATGTGCCTGATGAGTAACAAATAATTCCTGAGGGTTTGAAATATTTGACTTTATTACACATGTGTTGGGGATCAAAATATCTCCAGTCCAGTGAGTCCAGCAATGCTACCTCCTAGCATTCTCAGCAGATCCCACCTCCAATGGTCGTCCATTGTGATTCCGTTTCCACTCCACCCTGAATAGTATCGTGCAGCAGTAGGAGAAATTGTACTTCAGCATGCCTATGATTACCACAAACTGTCAATCACAGTCTGTTTTTTTGTTAGCCAATCCTGTTGGGCCACAGTAGATGTCAAAAACTTGACTTCTCCCCTCAATACACCTAAGAGGATTGATCTGCTGAAACCCCATGATACAAGCTCTGTTTATTAGCCTGCTCCCTGCTCCCTGATAAAAATGCAGCACTTCAATTAAGTATTTGCCAGGGTCTTTCCAGCCGTGTCCACTGTTTGGCTTGCTTTTACACTCCAGTACAGGGCTATTCGAATCACAGTCCTCGACGGCCAAACCCGCCCCGCTGATTCTCCAGCCTTCCTTTACCCGTGAACCAGGTGTGAAGCCTCTGTGCCCAATCAAAATCAGTAATTATCAAACTACTTACCTTGGAGAACTGAAAACAAGGCCTGGATTTGGAAATGAGGTCCAGATTTGAGGAGCCCTACCCTAGTGCTTTCCATAAGGGCCGTGCTATACTGCTCTGTAGATGATGGTCACCTGAATGAATGATATCTTGTGGTTTTTGCAACAGTTTGTCCAGGTCTCCTCAGGTTCATCTTCACTGCTTTTGCTTCTTTGTCAACATACCAGCCTTCCAGTGCATATTGTCTCTCTAAGTAACCCCGCCTCCGCCCCCCCACCAAAATGACTCATACATTTACATTTATTCATTAGCCACACGTTTTGCATCAAAGCAACTTAAAGGGCAGTCCGTGTAACATGAGCATCAAATAAACATTCTTAAAGAGTATTGCTATTTATGCAGGATATGCTATAACAATAATGTACAAAATACCATTTACAAAAGTACACCAGCAAAAACATTTTAATGAAAATTAATGAAAAGTAAATCAGACTTGATGTACTTCGTGCAACTAATGGTGCCCATATAGAGGTGTATTTAATGGGGCAAAAAAACTTAAATATATTTGTCTCATTTTGTAATAAATTCCGCATATCTGTCTTTTCATTTGCCTTTGTAATAAATTTTTGAAATTGTACAGAGACTTTATGGACACCCTGTATAGTTCACATGCGTCATAGCAATAGCCTGTCTCATTATTTTACTGTACTCTGTAAGTTACACTTAGTTCCTCTGAAAAAAAGTTAATGAGATGCCTGATTCTTTTTTCTGATAGGTTAAACATAAATTGACAAATATTTACAAACAATATTTCAGACATTACAGATTTTCTTGTTTGGCAGATAATTTTTCCTAGAGAAATTTTATGAAACTTCTCAACCAAACTGAAGCTTTCTGCTCCAACAGACCATATAGTTCATTAATGCTCTTCTGTTTTCTGACCTGCAGGGAACTCCCAAAAATAGGGTTGATTGTTTCCACTTCACACGTGTGGGCTGGATAATGTTAATCCTCACACTGATGAAGAAAGAAAAACTTTTCATGTGGCTTAAGTTGTGGGCTCAAAAAAATATAATTTTTCCATCCTCCACTGCTGTGCTGCTTCCCCTTCAAACTGCTTTGAGCCACGAATCCACACCTGCCCACTGGGTAGAAACAGTAAAGTGTGGGCGAGACCACTTTGTGCAAAGGCCTAAATTTGGATCCGATTGCACTTAAGTCAGTGCAGATATCTCTGACATAAAGGTCATGCTACGCCTGAATTAGATTGTGTGGATAGCATTGGTGAGAGAACACACAGGCACCAAAGGAGGTAGTGAAAAGGCTCTAGTGAAATTCCAAGCAAAATTCATTGCAAGAGGTCGTAAACATTCTTGGAATGAATTCTGCAAAATTCCCAGCATCTTACTTAACTTTGAGTGTTTTTGGTCACCACTGCAGTTACTGAGATTAACATTATTTTCTCAAGGGAGCAGTGCCTCTAGATGGTGTAACTAATGGTGTGAGCAGATCTTTAAGCCTGTCCGTCCATTGATACTAGCATTGAAGGAGAATATTAAGAATGGGAATAAGGATGGTTGTATCCATTCAAAAAAAAATGCATTAGCAATTTCAGGCTTGCATGTCTTGTCTACAGACGGGGTACAGATAAAATCTTTTTTACTGTTGCTATAATTTAGTTTTATTCAGGAAAATTACCATTTTAACGTATAAGCAGCCCAGTAACCCCATCTCATCGAATGCCTGTCTTTCCCGTTGAAGCCTCATCATTCTGAAATGCATTGAGAATTCACAGCTTTCCTGCGTTCGTCACCGGCCAAGGACCTCCCTTTATTGGCTCATCTAGAGCCTCCCTCGTATTGGCCAGGCTAGATACCAATTTCTATTGGTCAAATCCAGGCGTCGCTCACGCTACGCGACGTGCGTCATTTCCGTTGTCAGGTGGCGCTGCTATGGAAAGATGTGATCAGCGGGTCAAAAAAAGGAGGCTTTTTCCTGGTTGCTCGTTCGAGTTAATAACAAAACGAGTCCTTACAATTGCCGAAGGACGGCTTCGTTTGGGTGGGAGGGGGGTTAAGATAATGTTCCCGGTGTAGACAGTGTGTTTTATCCGGCTGTTTTGGCTCAAAGGTAAGTTGTTGTCGAAGACCTCCCTTTCCATACAGGGGCTGTACTTTGTTTAAAGGGCCTGTCGGCGATCCCGTGAGGGAGGGGGGCCGGCGGGGGCGACTTCGACACTGACTCCAAAGGTGGTGTTTCTTATTAAGCTATTTTTATTTATTTTATTCGTCTTGCCCATGTGGGAGTGGAGGCGTGCGGACCAGGGGTCGGGATCACTGCGGCGGTTGCGACGCGTCACACCGTGCGCGAGGGCTCGTGCCCTGTTCCCCGCTGCCCCGGCCGCCTCTGGGGCACTTAACGACCAGTGCAAACTTTAAAATCATCATCATTTATGGCGACTGATCACCATCGGCTAGCGTTTGCTATATATGGCCGGAATCAGGAGGGCTTAGGGACAGATGGTGGTTGTGAGAATAGTAGGACTTAACAAAGAGGATGCGTGTTCCCTCTTTCTCTTTCTGCATTTCACTGCCCTTTAAACTTGCCTGGTCTCCCGTGCTTCGCTCGCCCGCGTGCATTGTGCGCGTCGTGATCCCTGCCCTGCGCCTGCTCGCCTTTTCGTTCCCACCTCGGTCACCAGGACACCGCTTGTGTGCGACCTTGTATGTCAAGGAACACAGAGATGCGTCCTTAAAAATAATTTGGGGAAAAAAAACAACTTGCAGAAGAATACCGAAGCATTGGTCGCCAGTGGTTGCTGCTGGAATATAGACAGGAGATGGACCCCATAACGGTGTTTACATGCTAGTAAACGCGTGTGTCGACCGGGACAACAACTGACACTGGCGTTCAGATGCCAGTATTATTACCAGTATTTCCAGTAATAATATAATATCAGTCTTTATATATAATATGCACAGCCCTAAGCGGTATTACATAATGCTATTCATGTTACATTAGCTCAGTATGAATGCGGCCGCTCGCCTCTCCATTGATCAGATGTGTAACGAGTTTTCGGCACACAATTTTACATGTGTGTGAATAAAAGTGTTTGCAGACGTGTGCGTGTTTGGGTGTCACCCCACGCTTTGTTTGCACATTTAGCGTAACACACGCCGTCGCTCTTCGGTATTGAGTGATCATCTCCTTTGCCCGTGGGTTCCTCAGCCTCGGGGCCAGACAAAGTTGTTTCCTACATGCTTTCCATCTTTTCCACTAGGATTTTAGGAGCAAATATGCGGATTTGGAAATGAGGTCCAAATGCGAAAGTGGAGTGCCTGGGAAAAAAAAAACATGCGGGATTTTGCATGGCAATGCCCTGCTTTTCATTGTTGATTACTTGTTTCTGTATATTATATTTTCTTTGATTGCATTGTATTGATTACAGGTTAAATGTCCTGCTTGTTGAGATTCACACTAATCACTGAAATGGTTGATTTAGGCTGAAATGAAGCATAAATCGATGCTGATTGTGGCTTGTTAGTAGGTCACTTGTTTCATTTTCTGTCAGAGCTTTTCGATTGTTTTTTTTTCTTTTTCTTCGTGCCCCCTGTAACTTCAATAGGACACATTCAAACTCCCACCACTGAGCTGGATGTTTGGTCTTTGAGTGATTAAAAACGGATAAGGGGGTGTATCTGTGGTCACCTCTGTTGGCCCCAAGCCTTGTTTCCAGCTATTTAAAGATCGTACATTTTCACTGACGAGGCAGGAGTGCGTCTGTCTGCTGGAAAATGAATCAGATGCATGCTGTGGCTTCACACTCACGATTTCTGGCCTCATCAGTGATGAGAAGCTCTTTGTGTGTTGGGTCCTGTACAAACCTGAGTGTCCAGTTCATTCTATTATTTTAAGAATTATTTGTTATCTCTATTTGCTGCTTTACTCTTGTCAGTTTGATTGCTGTTATTTCTGCAAGGTATGTATTTTAGTTCTCCTGTTCGATGTCGTTTTGTTTCGATGGTATTTTCATGTCCACATTGATGCATTTTCATTATGAAATCCCATACCTTTTCTGCTTTGAATGCAAATATTCTTCACTGTGTCAGATCAATCCTACAATCCTTCCAGTTGTTTTCATTCACAGCTTGCTGTCTTCTGTAGTACATGCATGTCTTCATTCTACTCTGTGATTCTTTAATGTTTTGGAGGTTTGTTCTATTTCAAGACCGAGTGCTGGCGGTTCCATTGCCCACACATGAATCAGCCTAGCGATTGCTCTGTATGTCCCCATGGGCGCATGCTTTCACTGATACGGCTTTGTCGATCTAGTCTGAATGGGGGGGGAGAGCATAACTCCAAGCCAAGAGAGTCTTTGTACCACAGTGCGCAACTGCCAGGGTGCGGTGGGGGCTGTGCAAAGGGCATGCAGGAATTCTTGGTGCGTGTGCAAGCTCAGTGACAGCAGGTTTTCCTGTGGCGGTATCACTATTCATGTGCGCGTCTAGTTTGTTCGAAGTGTTATTTAAAGGAGGTGGCATTTTTGTGGATACTGGGGGTGTTACACCATTATATCTTGTATCTGTAGTGCATCTAGATGCATCTTACTCTGTGTACAGTGAAGGGAAAGTGAGGTGTTCCCCAGTGTTATGGGTGCTGTTCATTTTCCAGGCAGCACACCCTTTCTGTTGTGGATGTTTTGGGAGTTCTCCGTGGTGTCATGATCTGACATCTTGTCTTCCTGACGCGTAATAGCCAGAGAGGGCCTCAGGCAGCTGATTCACCGTGTTGGCTTTGGGCACACTTCCCTGTTACGGGAACAATCTCTCTGCCAGGAAACGGCGGATTTCATCACACAGAAACTTATTATCAGCAAACAAGTGAATCTCTATAGTGATCGCTGCGGGTTGTTTTTAGAGAACCTATGGTGGGAACTGTTTATGTGTTTGGTGCTCCCTGCTTGGGCTGTTTTCAAACTAATGACAACGAGGTTTGGTAATACTTTTAGACTTTGCACAAAGCTCTGTATTTATAGGAAACTGTTTTAAGAGGAAGGAAGTTAAATCTTTCTGTGGGGATTCTCACATATTTTTAGATAAATCTTTGCAGATTAAATCTGCTTTGAACAGCAGAAACCACCCAAATTCCAATATTAGTCAGACTGAAGCAGCAGCATTATCATCAGTCTGTGGAGTTTTGTTACCTGAATTTGATTGCTTGTGCCATTAAACACACTAGTGTTGCGTGTCGGTATGACTGGAAGCATCAGCAGCTCCAATTCGCCTTTGAAGCTGATAATTGTGACAGTGTTTCTTGTAATAAGCAAACACAGTGGTTTTGGTGGTCTTAAGGTGCAGGATTTTGTGGAGCCGGGGCTCTGGGGCGAGTCTGGCTGCGGCCGAACCCGATCTGACCAATGTGTTCTTTGCAGAGCGTCAACCAGGATGTCCAAGCGACGCGCTTCGGAGAGGGGGGCCGGGGAGCACTCGGCCCGGCCCAGCAAGCTCCTGTGTCCCGGGGTCTCAGGAAGCAATGCCAAGCGAGCAGGACCCTTTATTCTCGGTAAGGATGTGGGTTTGAGGTGGGGAGGGGGGGGATTCTGCTCTCCACGCCGCCTCGGCTGGGAGACTTCGGGTCCTGTGTTTGTCTAACAGGAATCCATGGAATTTCTGCGCTGCACACATTCCCAAAGTCACAGCCATTTTTCTTAGTGTGCAGAATAACTTGCATTGTACACACTGTATTTGTGTGAGATTATTCTCAGTTCACTCGGGCCATCGGCCTGATCCAGGATGACATCGCAACCGTAGTAGTAAATGGTTGGGCTATTTTGGGCTGTGTATTGATCAGAGGCAAAGCAGCAGTCCTTTCGTTCCATTAGCCATTGGCTGATACTTGACGAATGCTCTCCATGTTTTTTTTTGTTTTGTTTTTTTGGCATATTGACTGCGGTGGATTGTCGATCGGAATCCCCGCCGCCTCGATGAGCAAGTCCTAACACGCTGCGGTATTTTCACACAGGGCCTCGGCTGGGTAACTCGCCCGTCCAGAGTATCGTCCAGTGCTTGGCGAGGAAAGACGGCACAGATGACTTCTATCAGCTGAAGGTAAGCAGCCGACGCGCCTTCCCAGAAAGATCCTCGCAGAGGGTCTGGCTTTGCGGCTTATTGGCACAGCTAGAGGAACCTGGAGAGTCCTGCTTGTCATATGAACCTTTGACACCCTGGTGCCTCGTTCCCCAGCCGATCACACTGCCTCTGAGGGCAGAGAGACGCAGCTTTGAATCACTCACAGTTTGAGCAGTTTGTTTGGACAGCCGCAAACAAACAAACTGTCACTCACAGCTGCAGCACCTTCTGGCCCTATCTGCGTTTGACCATTCCGTCGCAGGCCTGTCCCAGCCAGACAAGGACGTGTGGACCGTTTCTCTTGGTCTGATTCCCACCCTGCGCTTCCTAACGCAGATCTTGACTCTGGAGGATCGCGTGGACGCAATGGCAGAGACGCAGGAGGAACGGCAGGGCAAGATGCTGCTGCACACAGAGTTCTCGCTGCTGTCTCTGCTTCACAGTCAAGACGGCGTGGTCCACCATCATGGCCTCTTCCAAGTATGTGCTTCACATTTCCTCCCCCCTTCACGGTTACTGGGGTCAGAAAGATGCGGAGGTGTTGTGAGTCCCCTTAAGACATCCTGGGTTAATCTGACCCAGCAGTCCCTCCCTCGGTAACCTGGTTCCGAAACTCTAGATTTGAACTGGAGCAGCAGAGATGCTGTAGCCTTGCTCTCTCGCTTCCAGAGCCGCAAATTACACTGGTGAGTCACCCTTTTTATTTTGATGCCTTGTTCGTCTCGCATCTCCCATGTTTTTTCTTTTTTTTTCTTTTTTCTTTTTTTTTTTTTTTGAAAACCCTTTTTGAGAAGCGTGTTTTGACGGCCAAATCAAACGGGTGAGTCATGCTAGACCCCCCGTATCGATCAGTTTATTACAAGCGGGCTCTGAGTGGGCCAGCCAATCACAGATGGTCCCGGATCGCTTTTGCCGCCTGTTATTTTCTCAATAGCCGCATCTGTTAACGAGAAGCACTCTGGCGGTCGATGCCGTTCCAGGAAGAGGCTTGCCGGGGAACTGGGGGCCGGCATCCACTCGATCGCCGTGTGTAAACGGCGCAGCCTGATCCCCCTCAGCTGTTCATGCCTGTGGTCTCTCTGTTGCTTCCGCCCCATCTCATCTTCCAGCAGCAAGCTTTGTGTAGAGCGTAGAATCAACTGTGAAGGAGGTGTTCCTGGTGTCTTGTTATGCAGATTGGATGTTGGAGGGGAGGGTGACAAGACGGTAAGGAGGGGAAGTCAGAATTGATTGCATGTGCTGTGCACCCCAGGACAGAGCCTACGAGATCGTGGAGGACCACGAGTCCAACAAGCACCGGAAGATGAAGAAGCGCATCTGCCTCGTGCTGGACTGCCTGTGTGCCCACGACTTCAGTGACAAGACGGCCGACCTCATCAACCTGCAGCATTATGTCATCAAGGAGAAGCGGCTGAGCGAGCGCGAGACCATCGTGATCTTCTACGACGTGGTGCGCGTGGTCGAGGCGCTGCACAAGGTGGGCGGCCCGTCCCAGGATTGGGCAGGCGGCGGGGCTTCGGGTCAGACCGAAGACGCTACCGGAGTAGCTGGTCCGTTCTCACGCTCTCTGTTCTCGCCCTGCAGAAAAACATCGTGCACAGAGACCTGAAACTCGGAAACATGGTGCTCAACAAAAGGTGAGGCTCCTGTCCCATCCTCCCCCACCCACGGACTCTCAGATCCTCCAGAAGTCAGGGTTTACCCCGTGTCGAAATGCAATTCCACAGTGGCTCCGGCCTCGCTGCTGATTAAGCGTCTGATTCACTCCCATGTCTCTATGGGTTGGGGAGTGGGGCGGGGGGGGGGGGGTGTCGTGGGGGCCTAATTAACATCAGATGGCACTTCTCGTCTGGCACTGTGAAGGGACCCTAGTGGGGGACAGGTGTGCTACAGGTTAGCAGCACCTGGGAGCTGACGGGTGTGTTGGAGCTCCGCCCAGCTGGTGTGTGCGGGCTTGGCCGGGCCGCGGGTCCAGCTGGGCGCTGGCACGCAGGAGAGCGCTCTCCCGACCGCCGCCACTCCGGCACGTTTATCCCGGAATATCACTGTGTGCCTGTCGGCTCCTGTAGCCGGTGCCCCCCCTCACCTGGAGGCTAAACGCTGTCACCTCAGCCCAGGCTGGCGGAGCCTTTGTTTCGCGGGGCGTGTGATGAAATCGAAAGCGCCGGGGCAGGGCAGCGGAGCGGAACATGCCGTTCCGGAGAGGACAATGGGCAGGCTTGCCAGCGGCCCCATAGCACTGGGCTGACTCATCCCCTGACGGCCGGTTGCTGACGCAAGACTCTGTTTACTCTCTCTCGCCCGCTCACTCTCACTCGCTCGCTTGGCCGCTCCGTCTCACTTTTCCGCGATTCTCTTCCGACTGCCGGCTGCAGTGGATCTAAAAGTGCAGGGGACCCCCGGTGCCCAAGTATGTCATTGACATGTGACACTACTCGCCCTAGACGCGCTCTTTGCTTCCTCTCGATTTTCACCACGCGTGTGTCCGCGCCTCTCAAGCACTGTCAGACATGCGACTTGACGTTGGGCTTTCGGAAGACCTAGGTAGAGTCGATGTCGATGTGTCTTGGAGGCTTTTTTTTGGGGGGGGGGGGTCCACAGATGGAATTTGCCTGGGGTGACTGTTGACGACCTGTTGTTGGATGGCTTGAAGGGAGGGGGGGCAACACTGACGATGAAAGTGAGGACTGTGTTTAACTTTAGACCCTCAGTGCTTTGCCGCCAATAGCTATTGAGTGGCGTTCCGCTGACAGGGTATTACCCATAAGCACACTGCACACATGCCCATACGGCTTCAAACAATGTACTATTGTTTTTGGTTCCCAAAAACCCAAAAGCTGTGGCAGCTTATTAATTTAAAATGCTTGGTTTTTCCCCTGGTTTTCAATCTGGGCGTGCAGAATTTTGAGCTTCATTCCCGTTTTATCATCCGGAGTGTCATTTGCGATGGTAATCAGTTTGCACTGAACCTTCCAGCCCATTCTGTTGTAAATAAGCGTGCAGAAATGACCTTTTGCATAATGCCAGCTGTAATTGATGCGCATTAGTTAAGCTGTGCAATTATTTTTTTTTTCCCTGCAATATTATCTGCAATGCCTGCAGTTGCTTTGCAGAGTTGTAAGGTACCATTTTAAATTCAGGGACAAGCCCAGCATTTTCTGGCATCTACCAGAAAGGGCGCCCTAGACTTCACCCCTTGTCAGGCGTCTCTCGGGTTTGGGGGGAGGGGAGCTCTTAGCTCCCTGTCGGAGCGGGAAGGTCCCTCAACAGCTGGCCTGGGAAAAAAAGAAATGGGTGAATTATCCCCAAAAAGAGAAGAATCGCATTAGTCCGGCCCGGCTGGGAGATGCGGCTGCGGTTTTCTGTCGGCACAGAGAAATGGTTCCTGTTTGTGCTGCTGTTCAGTGCGAAGCTGAAGCGTGCGATAGGTGACCATGGCGTGTGACAGGTTCACTCACACCTGGTGTAGTGTCTCTTACACCCCACCCCCCACCACGAGCAGGTTGTTTTCTGACGGTCTGTGTATGAAAGTACATAGAATGGGGAAGTGGAAAGCTCCAGGTGGTGATGAGGGGGTGATGATGAGGGCTGCTACTGACAGATCTGACCATGAGAGGAGAATAGAGTCTAATTTCCGGTGAGCAGACCTGTGTAACTTGAGGATGGTGTGTGCGCGCGTGTGTGTGTGTGTGTGTGCGCGTGCTTCACACAGGCCATAAAGTGATGTGGTTCTTCTCCATTGAAGCATTAGTCATCCGATCGCATAACCAAAGCCACATGCTGACTTACTCACTCGTCACTGTGTCTTTTGTCATACTATTATTTTCTTTCCTTTCCTTCTCCCTTAAGGATGAGGCTTTTCCCAAAAACCCCCCCCCCGCCTCCCCCTCATGCATGAATGTTTACCCTTAAACAAAGGCCCTAATTCAGCATTTGCAATTCGCACTACTGCTTTTGGTCATCCAGATAAACACACACCCCCCGTTACCGCTTGCTTGGTTAACCTTACTCAGAGTGGCAGGTAGTCTGCCGGTTTATGTGTCGTCTTGGATCAGGGGGTGTCATTGGTTTGATTTAGCAGCTGTCAATTTGCATCTGATGGTGCAGGGTGTGCAAACTGTAGCAAGGTGTCCCTGGTTCTGGAAATTTTCCTGGCCATGTTGTACCAACGGTCCCCACCCCCCCTTTCTGTTCCCCTATCCACGTCTTGTAGGACCCACAGGATAACCATTACCAACTTCTGCTTGGGGAAGCACTTGGTTAGTGAAGATGACCTCCTGAAGGACCAGAGGGGTAGCCCTGCCTATATCAGTCCTGACGTCCTAAGCGGTAAGTGTGGGTGAGGTAGGGTTGGGGGGGCTTTTCCCATAGTCTTTATGCTATTTGAGCTTGTAAGTACACAGTGACTCATCCCATGCAGCACACCCGTAACCAAATCAAAACTTGGAAACACCCAACACAGTGATCATCCCAGTTCTCTTGTCAACACACTGCTGTTTGTGTATCGGTGAAGCAAAGCAAGTGGAGATTAAAAGAGCCCGTAGCTGGTTTTAATGGACTTGGGCGCTCAGGATGAGTCGGTCTTGTGGAGGGACTGGATCCTCATGGTTCAAACCCAAGAGCTTGTGCAACCACTGCTTGCCTGTCTGGGGGAGGGGGGGGGGGGGGGGGTGGTTGTGGCTGTCTGGTCGTCCCACGTGAGGTTAGGTATGAGCTTTCGAGCAGAAATGGAGGAAGGTTAATCGACGTTGTATAAGGAATGCAAGATGTGCCCGTAGAAACGTTTAATCTTGATGCAGCACCGTGGCGGAGCACACGTGGAACCCTTGGGGGCCGCGTCTCGGTCTTTCTTGGCGCGCCCAAGTTAATTATATAAATGGGGCTTTATCTCTTTGTCACCAAGAAAAATTGTAAGGAAGATTCATGGCAGTAGTCATAAACAGAGGAGCAAACATGTCTGGGCTGCCCGTTCCTCGGGATGAAGAGAAGGTCTGCCCCGATCCCCCGACATCATGGGAGTGCAGATCGTATGGTTTTTGTGCCGAAGGGGGTTCTGGGGAAGGAAGATAAAATCCAGAAGTAAATCAAGCAAACGTGACAGGAGATGGAGAAATAGCTCTGCGATGAGTCAGGCGTGAGTCACAGCCGGGAGGAGTGGTGCTGACTGGGGAGGGCCCTGCTCCCAAGTGCTCGTACAACCATGGAAAGGCCTTATGGACTCGCTCGTGCCTGGGAGGCCCCTCATCAGTACAACAAATTACAGCCTCAGCGCTGAGGGTGGGACGTGCACAGATATCCCCTGTGATCTACGCGCCTTTGGGTGCTTTTTAGCCTAATCGCTGTTTTATTACAGTTTGATGGTGTTTTGCTGTAGCTGCCGCAAGGAAACCATGCCACTTGCAGCCAGGATTAAGGCTATAATCTCAGCAAGGTTCTGGCTGTCCTGTCTGGCTGAGGTTCTTCACTTTGTTTTTTACGGTATCCTGAGAAAGGGTTCTTTTGAAGATGGCTTGTTTTGGTTAGGTGAGCTTGCAGACCACGCGACACGTGCTTGTACAGGCAGTGATGGTCTTGGTCCCCCGCAGGCCGTCCGTACCGAGGCAAGCCCAGCGACATGTGGGCCCTGGGGGTGGTGCTGTTTACCATGCTGTACGGCCAGTTCCCGTTCTACGACAGCATTCCTCAGGAGCTCTTCCGCAAGATCAAAGCTGCAGAATACACCATCCCAGAGTAAGTCTCCTCCTGATCCAACCCTGCCCAATCCGCTGCGTTCCACCTTTGACCTCTGTCTCTCCAAGAGGCTATTGGTCACTCCCGACATCCTCTGTTAAATTTTCTTGTTCCCCCTGGTTTTGCACATGTTGAATTGCTCAAACTCTTAGTTTGGGAGCATTTTAAACCAATAACCTCTTCAGTACTGAACAAGGAGGCTAAATCTTTCAAGCTGTGTCGGCATTTTTCAGTTGAGTGGTTTACTTGCACGCAATCATGAATCTAGATAACCGTGGTCCTGTTGGGCCACATTAAGAGACTAGTATTAAATATGAGGAATTTGAACATCTGCAGTTTCTTCACAATTCTTTACTGCGCCTAAGCAGCTCTGTTCCCCCCCCAAAAAAAAACAGGGATGGCCGTGTGTCGGACAGCACAGTGTTCCTGATCCGAAAGCTGCTGGTTCTGGATCCCCAGCAGAGGTTGACTGCCACTGAGGTGCTAGAGTCCCTCAGTGCCATCATTGCGTCATGGTAAGGGTTCCCCCTGGTGGATAAAAGCAAGCACTGCAGGGGTCAAAGTGTCAGCAGCTATGATTTTCAGGCTTAGCTGAGGGACCCTGGTCTGTGGCCCTTAGGGCTACAGTATCTGCTAGGTGAAGCTTTTAGGTAGCTGGGTACGTGTAGTTTTTCAGACTGAGGTCACTGCAGGATTTCACCCTGGTCTTTGTCCGTGTTCCACAGGCAGTCTGTGTCCTCTCTGAGTGGCCCCCTGCAGGTGGTGCCAGACATTGATGACCAGGTGAACCACCCCGAGCATCTCCAGGAGGTGAGTGGCTTGTTGTGTTAAGCTAAGCTACGCTAATCCTATGTCTGCCTGCTTTGCTGTGCCCTGTATCACGGGGTAAGACTGTAGCCCAGAGGACAGGAGGATAAGCTGGCGGTCAGCCCATTCTGTTTAACATATGGCGTGAGAAGTTTATAATGCCGTGGGGGGAGGCTGGCTGTAGGCCGTGTGGTGAGCGGCGGAATTGCATGGTAAAATCCCGGGATGCCATGTGAGTTTACACTGTAAGCAAGCGACGCTGTTGAATATAAATACGGAAGCGAGTGTTTGCTGATGTCTGCAGCCCCGTGTTTGGAGGTTAGAGTGCGTCTGCTCTCCCTTCCCCAGGCCAAGGTCACGGAGGAGTCCTCGCAGTACGAGTTTGAGAACTACATGAGGCAACAGCTGCTGCTGGCGGAGGAGAAGAACACTATCCACGAGGCCAAGAGCTTCCTGAGCAAGCGGGCGTACAGCGGGAGCGTGCCGCCCGTTCGGCGCCTCGGCCACGACGCCCAGCCCGTCAGCCCGCTGGACGCTGCCATCCTGGCCCAGCGCTTCCTGAGGAAGTAACCCCCACCCCCTACCCCCCACCCTTCTCCGGTACCCCTACTCGGAAGTCCCGCTAGCCACTTACTCCATATTCAGCCCTGTGCCGCAGAGAAGTATGCTCTGGCCTTGGGGACGGTTGGGGTTTTGGGGACGTGGGGGGGGTGGACCCGAACACAGACTCCGTGCCTGTCTCCATGGAGGGGGCCAAAGGAGGGCTCGGCAATCATGACCTAGACTGGGGTGAGGCCTTCGCTCCGCTCCCACCCCCCGCCCCTGACTACGGACAGCGTGGACCCCACCCCCTGCCTGCTGTCACGCTCCCCCTAGGAAGCTAAAGGCCCCCCAGCCCAAGATCGGCCGCAACACCCAGAGCAATAGAGCGTTCCGCAGCGGAATCGCGTAGCAACTGGTCTCCAGAGCTTTTACAGGAAGGAGACCACCCCACCCCCCAGCTCTCAACATTGTCCTGCCACGTGCAGAAACCTTTGTGTGTGTGTGTACATGTTATCCCCCAGATTTCTTTAACCAAAACAGTCTGGATCGGTCCTGAAACTGACTTTCAGATCTACCTCTTTCTGTCTTTTAACTGAGGCTGTTTTCAGTTGTCTCTACGAGGACGTTGTGAATCTGGCCTGGAGAAGCATTACTTTGATTTTTTTTTTTTTTTTTAAATATCCCTGGTGCATAAATATAGTGTGGAAGGTGACCCTTCTGTGGCACTCTCCCTAAAATCTGAATAAGCTTGACGTTTTTTTTCTGTCAGTTGATAAACGTAGCATTTAATTTCCTTTGTTTTTACCGCCGACCACATCTGTTCTGGTCACTGACAGCTTCTGGTTTCATAATAGCAGAATGCACGTTCTATCCCACCTGGTAGGATTCTAACCCTCTTCGAATTTAGGCAGCTATCCTCACATGCCCCAATCAGGGATTCCATGGTCTGGACTGAGGTTGGGTATCGGTCGTTCTTCAGATATGTTATGGGTGGGCGTTGAATCATGTGACTTTCAGGCATTGTCCAGAGGATACCCAACATTACTAAGCATGGCTTATTTCTGTACTGTTTCCAGTTTTTTGTTTTCTTTTGAACATTAATCAGCCAGCATGATCTATTTTATTTGTGATATTTATAGCCAAATACGGAGCTCCTTTGTAAAGTTGTGGTTTGCCAAGGAATGCGCGTCGGTCTTTGTTGCTTTGTGCTGTTTGACAGACATTCCTTTGTTCTCTCGCATCACGGTACAACTGCAGCATGCTGATATGAACGGAATCCGTGTGGCAGCGGCATGGCGGCTCTTCTCCCTGCCCCCACGGTGCCCCCACACGTCTTTGTAGCCTGGTCTCCACAGCCAATGCGTTTCGAACCCGGTGCCTTTCTCTACCCATCCCTGGGGCCAGTTCCCGTCTCGGGTGCTTAGAGGTCGAATCTCCGGCGAGGTCGCCTCCCGATCTGGCCTGCTGTTTTGGACCACTTAAGTAGCACACTGGGGGGTGCCTTTTCCCCTCCACCCTCAGTCATTAAAAATTGTGGGTCTAGGGCAGGGTCAGCCACTTGGGGGAGGTGCTGGTGCAGTGCTTGTGAACCAGAAATACAAGCAGGTGCAGCATCTTCCTGTCCCACCTGCATGTACACACAAGCCGTACTGTAGTTCTAACCCATCTTGTGATTGTCCTTTTCCATGTTTTGTACCCCTCTTGCCATAACTAAAGTAATTACAACTTTACAACTCAATAATTATGATTACTTACCAGTAGATTAATATCCTGTTAATTTAAGGCTTCTGTTCGGTGAAGTTCCTGTCCGACATTAGTGGGTGCAGTGATGATACCTGAGGGGTTCGTTCACCTGGGTTCCAGCATCAGTACAGTATCTTCCAGAACCCTTGATGCTAACCACTTAAGAACAGGACACCCTTGTAGTGGTCTAGCTTACCGTAAACTCTGTAATATAGGTATATATGCTTTAGTGCATTTCCGTGACAAAGCAAGACTGACAAAAAAAAACCACAAGTAGAAAGTATAGGCTCTTGTGATTTTTTTATTTTTTTTTTTAATGTTATTTTTTAAAAAAGAGAAAAAATTCTCCCCCTTTTTTTGTCTGAAGCTTCTGATTATATTTATTCATTATGTCATAGACCTTTTGGTGTTGTCCCCTCCACCCTCCGCGAGTGTTAAGTGTCAACTCCCGTCGTTACGTCTTCATTAATTGCTGTGATTTCCGCGTTGACTTCAGTTATTTTTTAAATTGTATAAAAAGCTGGCCACAAGCCAGTGGTTAATTAAGCTACACTAAAAGTCTGCGTAGATCTATTTTTTTAAGGAAATATTTCGCATGATTTGTAGAACGTACCAGATTCATTTTGGTGCCGCACTCTGTTAGCGTGTGTGTATGTATGTATGTGTGTGTGTGTGTGTGTGTGTGTGTGTATGTATGTATGTGTGTGTGCGTGCAAAACCTGACAGCAGCCGGCAAACTTTGTGCAAACTAGTGACTTGCCATCTTGCAAAAAAAAAAAAAGAAACCTAGTATGTAGGCATCCATGCCCCTTTAACACAGGGGTGTGTGCTCATGCGGAGTTATGCTGCCACCTAGTGCTGAAGCTGCGACATGAACCTCTGAGTACTGAGCAGTATTGTAGGTGTGTCTTGGCCAGAGACACTTTATTGTTTTTTTTTTTTTTAAGAACCATGACCACAAATGGTCATCCTTTCAAACCACCCAGCCATGAGTGTATGCCCCCCCCCCCCCAAGCAGACTCTGCATAGGTGCAGCCTGCTTTAATACCATCTTATTCACCTACATACACACACATGCACTCCTACCCCCATCTGGAGAGGACTGTTGTGTGCTCACCCACCCCCATAAGAAACATCACGTCATGTGTCAGTCGAGGTGGGGGACATTTTTGAAGCACCTTTTTACAGCATGAGAACTATGTTGTTGAGCTCCACGTTTAAGATATGATCTTTGCATGCTTTTGACCTGCAAGGTATGGCTATGAAGTCTGACTAAAGAAGAGGACTCTATGGATTCAGTTTGAAAATACACTGCAAAACCTGGGGTGTAGGGGACTGCCTCTGTGTCAGTAATTTGAAAGGATGTAGCTATGTCAGGGGTGGGGCATTTAAATTTTTTTTTGCCCCCCCACGCCCCTTTTGCAATGTAACGTTGACATGCCTCGTGTTTAAACTGGAAATCGGATCGTGACGTTGGAAGACTAAAGCAGACGGGTTTTAAGCGCAGTCTAGTAAAGCCACTCGGTTGGTATCAAAGCTGAAACTGGGTTATTGTATAGAGATGAAAAAAACAAATTTGTATAAAAGACATATTTTTGTACTTCATCAAATCTCTACATGCATGTCAGCAATAAATAAATAAAAAATGCAACTTGTCAGTCTGATTTTGTTCAAACTTCAAAATAAATAAATAAACCGGCAGAATGTAATTCATGGTAACCTACCAGATCCTGTCCCAAACGGTCAGTCCGGTTTGGTATGCCTCTTCCTTTTTCCAGTAGGGGGAGCTTTTTCTCCATATTAAATGTTTAAGGTTCAAAAACTGCAGTGGTGGGTTAGTTTTAAATATTTACCCCGTCGGTCTGACCCACTTGCTCCTGTGAATGCCCTACAGTTTGGCCATTCTCTTTTCCATCTGCTCACCTGCTTGTGTGATGCACAACGTCTAAGCACGGTTCCAGCTTCTACCTCTGCATTAACTTGTCCCTGGGGTGCTGGGGTGGTCCGCACTTAATGTTTAGCCTTGCGTGTTTATCGAGGTGCAGAAGCTCTTCCTTGTGTCACGCTAGCAGGTTTGTACCAGTGACATCACCCTTGGTACCAATCTAGAGCCACCGGCCAGCTGCTTTAGATGTTCTGTCGCTGGCGGCGATGCCCGAGAACAGATGGGCCCCCGGCCGAACACCTGGCAGCTGGACCCCATAACGGACTCCCTCTAATCGCTTACAGGAGCAGCTAACATGGGCCAGCAGCCGGCCCCAGCTTCGTCTGTTTAGTGTCTCATCCTGTCATCGCAGGTGACTTGGCGGTTGATAATGGGTTAGGCTTGCGTCTGGCTGGTAATGGGTCCATTCATCGCAGACTGAATTCAGCATCATATGTTGGTACTTAAAGTGGTTTTCCTCAATTTTTTTGACACTCCATCTACCTTCAATACTGTTTACCCAGAACAAGGTTATGCCGATATACTCAGCATGAAATGTAGTCATGATCATGTTTAATATAGATAAATGATGAACTTACCAGCACTTCTCTAGATGTTTTCATTGGTAAATGCCCTGAAGCAGGGCTCTTAAAATCGATCAGAGGCCTGTAGGAGGTGAGTGAGTTTCACAACCACCATCTTTCTCTCTGTGGTCTTGGAGAACAACACAGTCGTGACCTTGTGATGTCACTTGGAGGCCTTTCTCCTGTTCAACTCAAGCCATGTCGTGCGCCCCAGTCCCAGGGAGCTCCTCTTGGCCATGTCTGTGCTCTGAAGCCTGGGGGTAGACCTGCCATTTTCTCACGCCACCAGCAGGACTGCTGGACGGCCCACCATTAAAGCAGGTCTCAGTGGTCCCCTTCCTTTTCTTTCAACACTTATGTCTTTCAGATGTAATAGGACTCGAGCTTTGAGCTCAGGGTGGAGTGTGTGACTTCATCCTGGGGCTTGACGACAGTTTGTCCCAGATGTCTTTTGCTGAAATATGCCAGGGCCTGTTTGCCCAACCCACCGCCTTTGAGTGCATTGCAGCTGGTCATCAGCATCTGTGCCCACCAGTTGGGCCGGTTCACACATGGAACCCTCTCAGCCATGAGAGTCGACCCCACCACCACCCTACCCCTGACCCCAACCAGCTGGGGAGCAGTAGACCCTTCCCAAATTCCTGCAAGTTTTTGTCGATTATCCTCGCTTAATATTGGCGCGCTGTCTCACGTTACGTCTCTGTTACGCTCTGGCATCTGGCTCAGCTGCTCCGTGTGCAAAACAGGGCAAAAAAGCATATTTATTTCTGTTTTGGGGTTGCTATGACTATTTTGGTTATTGCATGTGCATAGTCATTTTAACCCATGTAAATTGCAAAGTCTTCCGTTACTTGTCAGGTCTTCAACCTTTGGCAGGAATATTCCACCTGTGTTTATTTTAGAGTGTACTCTGAATGTGTTTGTAAGTTCTCCAAATGAATTGGTCCAGGGAGCGGAGGGAGAAATCGATTCTTGATTCTCCTCACCTTCGGTCTGACCTACGTTGCTGGACTGCCACTGTTGCTGCTCTGACTTTTAATTTGAAACAGATTCTTTGTGACCCTGGAGCAACACACAAGGTTTCAATATGGCCTACAATGAAGCAGATACACATTGCATATGTTCAATTTAAAAGCCTTTCAAGTGTTTGTTTTTCTGCACATTTTTGTATTGTTTTGCATTCCCTGGAGAGCACAATTAAAACACATTGTGGGATGAAATTTATACGTGTTAAACATTTACCATAAGTATGTTAAATCCTAGTCAATAAAATGTAAAGTCTAATTGTTCTTGTCGAATGGCTCTCAGTATTCAGTTTGAGAAGTAACTGGATTGACTAAAGTGTACGCTTACAGATTAATGTCCATGTGTTTAACATATTTTGAGCATCATGAGGAAATGAACGTTCACATTAAATGGCACGGGGTTTTTGATGGTGTGGACCAAAATAAGCCAGAACGGGTGGATGAGTTCGGACAGTGAACTAAAGCAGACCTGGGTACAAAACATGGGGCACTTTTTGGTCGTCTTGTTTCACTAAAGACACCTCTAAACACACTTGGCATGATGGTGCTGCATGACCTCCTGCTGGAGAAGAGGAGGAATTAGCGAGCCGCATTAGTGCTTGGCTCTGATAGCTGGAAAAGCATCCTCTGTTGCATGAAGGAAAATGCTGTAGGCCTTGCTGCTCTAGTTCTGTATATGTTTGTATATATGAAGGTGATTGATAGATAGTTTAATCTGTTTTGCAGTTTGGCGGGGGGGGGGCACAGTGCAGATCTTCGCCACTGGCTTGTTTGGAATGAGTTTGGCCAACATCAACACTGCTCATATTCCGCCACTAACTACAGGTATTTATTGCTGAGCATACAAAGGATATCCTGTGCTTGCTGTACTAGAACTGCTAGTTTTACTGCCTCAGAAACAGAGGGAAAGTATGAAGCATTAAGAGAGTTTTTGCATTTTTGGAAGCTTTTACAGCAAATCATAGGGCATGGTTGTTTTGTTTGGGATACTCACGTGATTTTGGAATGAGACCTGAGGGCTCATAAGTCACCTGTGGGCCGGAGGCTGTTTCTGAGGCTCAGTCTGTAACTGATCCAGTCGCCGCCCCCCCCCCCCAACCAGCAGAGGGAGCCATTTGGTTCATGCTTGAATTTTTCTTTTTTGGCTCCAACAGAAAAGCCTCACAGAAATCCTGTCTCTCAGATCTTCATGGTTGTCATCCCAACTGGTGCTTGAGGTGGTTGCACCCCAGCCTTTCCCACTCATGCTGAAATGCCACTGCTCTCACTGTTACGGTCGTGTCACTGTTTGGGTGGCCCTGAGTCCATATGAGCAAATGGCTGATTTAATCCAGAACTGTACGTTCTATTATGGTGTGGATAAGTAAGGTCCGCAGGGCTGTTATTCTGAGCTTTCTGTAGTCGGCTTAGTCTTGTTCTTTTTTGGTTTATGTGTTCGTATTTTTTCATTATAAAACTGCTTAATTACACTGATGTAATTAAGGGCACGGCCTTATTCTCATTCATTTTAGGCACCTTCTGTTTTTTCCTGGCCTGACTGAAGTTCCTCTCCATGCGACCTACCCTCCGGAAGCATCAGCCTGCACCTTTTTTATTTCTGCTCATCTGGGATCAAGGCGCATCATGTAACGATTTATGCATTTTTGCAGCTGGATCCTTTCATGAATAAATGAGAACGGAGACAATGCATATGGGTACCGGAATCCAAATATGCAGCCATGCAAATTTCTGGCCTGCAGCTCCTGGTTCGCCTGGTCCTGCCATCATCCTGCGCTCTGAGCCGTTCGTAGCTGAAAAACCTCTTTTGAGTCTTAGTGTAAAAGGAAGCAAGACACTTTATTTAATAACTGTCCCCGAAGCTGGACTCTCATACACTGCCTGCATGTAGGAGCGTCATCATATGACCAGTGTGTGACTGGGATCCCCTGACTGCTGTGACAGTTTGGTCTTTATTTACACTCACCTAAAGGATTATTAGGAACACCATACTAATACGGTGTTTGACCCCCTTTCGCCTTCAGAACTGCCTTAATTCTAC